GTTCATTATTACCAAAAAAATTATTTAAAAAGATTTTTTGGTTATCATTTGCATACATAAGCTGAGAATTACTGATTTTTTGCTTCCCTGCTTTTTTTGGATGTAAAACAAAATTTCGGCGCATAGAGGTTTAAATTGAAATTGCTTATTATTAAAACCTTTGTGATAAGTTGCACTTTTCTGGCATATATGCGAAATCAGAGAATAGTTTATTTTTATATTTGGCTTTGATTTGTTTGATAATTAGAGAGCGATATCCATCAAAGGAGACATTAATATAAATGTTATTTAGAATATTAGATGTCAATTTACAGTAAACTTTACACAATAAGAGTATTACGGCGGTAATATATAATAAGAATTTTAAATCTACGTGATTAAAAAGTATTTTTGGCTAAATTGTATTGCAAAGCAATAGTTATTAGAATGACAGACTTATAACTTTACATAACGAATGTGAAGAATCAATTAGAAGCTCAAAAATGGAAGTGCACGGCTGATTATTCGGTTTTCATTTTAAATACGCATATTGGTTTTTGGCACTAATAATAATAATATTGTCATAGTTTAATATGTATATGTACATATTTATAATATGTACGTATTTATTGTGTATTATTCAATAAGGCTTTAATATAAATATAAAAAATGTTCAAAATAATGTGATTTTTTGCACTTTGACCGTACCTTGCTGATAACTGCTTAGGGGTATTGTGCTTCTAAGCTGCGGCGCGTGGGTGTAACATTATTTTATATGATGTATGATATTTTATTACTTCAATTTTTATTTTTTTTAATTAATTTTTCTTTAGTTTATTATTCTTCTTTTTTCTGATATCTGCTTTATTTTTCTTCGGTTTTTAATAACCTCAACATGAGTCAGAATATCAATACTTTTTCTTATTTCATTGCATAGTTAAAAAATAATAGTAAAATGAATCAAATGACAAAAGGAATATTTTTACAAATTTAATTTAATAGAAAGAGGTGATAATGTTAAAACCTTTGGTTGTTGTATACAATATATAAAGTATATAAATTTATATAAATAAATATTAATATTATTTATATAAATAAATATATAAATATATGAACTAATGAATCAAAACTGCAGAGCTTCGTATAATTGATTACAATAATGGGAATATAATTTACTCTTTTATTTTTACTTTTATTTACTCTACAAATTTTATCTTGTTTTTAAGGAACCAGTTAAGAATAACAAACTGTTTAAATGCTGCTCTTCAGTTGAAAAAAATATTTGTAACAATAAAATTAAAATAATTTTGCACATTTTGTTGATATATTTAATATTATACATAGTTCTTTCAGTTTTGCAATGGTGGTAATATATTTGCTTCATTGAATTATAACGTACAATCCATTTTGTAAATTACTAGTGTCTTCTATCATCATTAGAATTCTAATAAATTCAATCCAAAATTATTAGATTTTTTAAGTTTCTTCAAAAGATCGACGTAGACATATAGATATATCAGTAGCATAACTATTTTTTATCATTTTTATTATTATGCTTTACAATTAATCATGGTGCAATTAAAATGTATATTAAATATCCATTTACAATCATTTATTTTTTCTATTATTAGTATTATCTCTGTGAAAAATGTACCCATGACATTTATATTTTGCATTGGTTGAATAATGTAGCTATTATTTCGTAAAATTCCTTTAAAATTAAAAATAAGATACTGGATTTGTTTTATCCTTGATCATCCGATTTTACTTCGCCTAATGAGTAAAAAGGGCCAGGTGACAATTTTTTAAAAACGGCAAAAAAAAAACATTTCTCAAATGATGAATTACTTGGGAGTTTTACTGAACGTAGTCAGATAGTTGTTTGTTTGATTTGTGTATTTGTCGTGATATAATTAGTTTGGTTTTCACAACTTAATTGCACAAAGTCAAATTGGACCTTTGCGTCCCGCCCTATCCTATGGATAAATCTACAATAAAGAGGTTGGATCTGAAATGTTTTAATTATTTTTACATTTTATTTCTAGCAATGAAAAAATTAACGATTATGAGTTAGTTAAAATTAACGGTTGACCTTTAAGGACAAAAATTATATTAATGTAAAATCAAGTTGACTATAAATGCCCATCGGCTGTAGTCGTAGGGCACTCAGCATCCCTCGGCGTATTCTAATTACGGTCCGGCGGCATTCATTATTGTGAGGTGAGTGACGATGCTTCAGTGGACCTTGGCCTGATTTTCATGCACAATCTGCTACGCCTGCGTGTCTATGCATCTGATACCGTACATATTGTTATTTAACATTTATTGTATACAAACACATCGATATCACATGAACTAGATCTAACACTCCATATTCATGGAGTACATATATATGTGTGCCCTCATAATATTATTAAGTCATCGTTGTTAAAAGCCACTGTTACAGGTTCTGTACAGATCTCATCCTGAAAACTTCATAGAGATAATAATGCAATAGTGATTGTAATTTTATGTTTAGATTTCTCCAAATAATTCACAATTTTCTGTAATATATTTCACTTTTGGTATCAAGAAGTATATCATCTTATTAATAAAAAAAAATGAGGTTAAGCAATGTGCATAAATACTGATTTATATCGATATATTTTGTTTAATCGGCAGACTTAGCATAAAAGTAGAATTACAAAATGCTTAAACGAAGTTCGAACATTGCCATGTTTTGTTGACATCATACTATGTTACTAATTTTACGTAAATAGCACTTAACAATTTTTTATAAGTATATTAATATTTATTCAATTTTACCTGGTTATTTTGTATAAATTATTTAAATTCTTTTTGAAACACGGCATATGAATTATGTCGCTTAATACTAAAACTAACTGAAGCTAATACTAAACTGATATTAAATTTTGAAAAGGTTTATTTGGCAAGATATATGCAACATAAAATTAACAAGAATCGAAATAAAAAAGTTCCTTTCTAAAATTTTATTTAAAATGTTCATATATTAGTGTAAATAATAGCTTAGTAGATTTTAGTAAATTTTTGCAAGTTTTTACAAATGTAAATAAGTATATATAATGCCCAAAATAAAAATTAAAAGTTGCTTGAGAAAAAGTTCTAAATCCATAATGGAAAATTATCACAATTCTAAAATCCGCATTTCAACTACAAATTATTTAAAGTTTCAATATCCAAGTGTATATTACAGTTTTTCCTGGATTTGAGTCAATTTTATCTAGTTTTCTCTGATGAATATAAAGCAATGTGGTCGAGGAATACTTTCATAATATTAAAAAAATGTAAACAAATTACCAAAATTCACATATCGCTAAATATATTACAAGAAAAATTTTCCAACATGTTTCATTCAAAATTTCATTATGTAAGTATATACAAGAGACTTTAGAGCTTTTACTAATGTATACAAATTAAAATGTTTGAATGAAAACCTAAAGTCCTGAATTTACATATTGCTATTTATCAAAATACTAAATATGGTGAAATACTAAATAAATTGAATCTAAACAGAAACTGCCAGCTATCTTTCGATATTAAATGTAAATCGATTTAAGTTAGTCACTTTCAAAAAGGTAAAAATATCAGACCCGCTGCTGATGCTGATGAGCACCAGTTCTTGAGAACAGGATTTTTACTCGCCCCGCTTATAGTATGTTAAGTTAACAAAACTTTATTTGTTAAATTTTAACCAGCTTATACCTTTGCTGCTCATTGACAGACTTTTCTTATTCAATTCGATTAATATATTATATATTCTTATATTATAGTATTTTCTAAAAGTGGTGAATCTAGTTGGTTTTGACACGTTGCGTGCAAATAGGATGTCAATCGTAAAGATTCAAATCATTGTTTCCGCTGTGGACGTTATAAAATGTAAATGCTCATGATTCTGTGCAACTCTTGTGAGATTTAATAAATTTTGACATAATAACATACTTGACCGTTTCCTATTATGATTTTTATAGAAAATGTATTTGCAATATTTTTATTTGTAGAAATTAGTTATCATAAACAATAATACGGAAACTATTACGAAATTGTTAAACGTTTAAAATAAAATCTAAAAAAGTAAAATATTTATACATGTTTTCAATGTATTATAAATAAAGATTTAATTACAGTATTTTCCTTAGTTTAAAATAAACAAACATTATTGTTTTGGGAATGCTTTCTTCAAACAAAAATATTCACAATTTATTTACTGGTAATTCTTGTATATATAAACAATCTTTTTTGCTTCTGTACTAACATCGTGAAAAAATAATAACAAAATACTGCTGACATAATATATACGTATTTATATATATTTCAAATAATTACACACTTTAAATTACGTAAATTTTGAAATATTATAATATAGTTTTATTTGATTTTTCCATTTCTTTGTGAATAGGAACGTAAATATGCAAAGCTATTTCAACATTAAACATATTTATTTTGAGCTTTTGAATTATATCTGGACGTAGATTTATTCTATACATGTTGAATAAAATTGAAGAAGAAGAAGTATTTAATTCAGTTTATTTATATAAGTTTATATTTCAGTATTTATCTTGATTTCGATCAAATATTAAAAAATAATTAAAATGTTGTTCATAAATATTAAAAAGTTAAATGTTATTTTAATTTCGTGATATATATATATATATATATATATATATATATATTAGGGTGGTCCTTAATATGGACATTTCCTTGCTCCCAAGGGCTCAAATGGTTCCAAATTGATAAAAAAACAATTCTCTGAAATTTTTAGCTCTTATTATTGTTTTTTAGATAGTGCGCAATTCAATCAAAGTTTTGTATGGAAAAATTTTTAAAAATTTTAAAAATATTTTTTAGATATAACTTAGCGAACATATATATTAGAAAAACCTTTTAATTAAATGTATATGATACCGATATACTTAGATAAAATAAACCGAACAACTCTATGAAAATATTCTTATCGATTGTTGTATTCATATACATTTTTTGACGATTATATATTATTCCAGGTGGACGATCAGATGAAACTGCTGCAACACTCGTGGTCCGATATGTTAGTCCTGGACCACATGCACCAGCGCATGCACAACTCCCTGCCGGACGAGATGTCACTGCCTAATGGACAGAAGTTCGATCTTCTCTGCCTTGGGCTACTGGGCGTTCCGGCACTGGCAGCGCCCTTCAACGAATTACAAGCCAAACTGCATGAACTTAAATTTGACGTCGGAGATTACATTTGCGTCAAATTCCTGCTTCTCCTCAATCCTGGTTAGATTTGGTTTTAAAATTACTTTTAAGGCATTCTATTTTGTAGGCACGCGTTTTCTTAATCTTCAATGATATTCCGTGTTAAGTTCTTACAAATTAGTAAATTTCAATTAAAACAAAAAACGGAAAGTTTGTCAACATTACTAGAATGTTGGAATTTTTGCAAATTAGAATACTATATAATTAGATTTTATTCAGAACAAAAGATATATTATAAATCTTTTCAGATGTCCGCGGTATAACGAACAGGAAGCATGTGGTGGAAGGTTACGAGACTGTTCAAGCAGCCCTACTAGACTACACATTGACATGTTATCCATCTGTAACGGTAAGATCTTACGTCGAATGTTATTATTATTAAAAAGCTTTGAAAGCTCTTGAAAACCATTTAAAAAAAATAAATCAATGTAGGTAGAACATAAAGATCTTGTGATAATAGTTTTATTTTAATGATACTCTCTGAATCAATTTACCAAAACAGCCAGAGATAATTTGCCAAACAGCTAGAGTCTACATGCTCCTAATATAGTAGTACGCCGACATACGAGTTTAATTCCGTAATCATGCTCGTATGTCGAATCGCTCGTATCTCGAAGCAATTTTTTCCATATAAATATATTGAATTGCTATTAATTTGTTCTGGCATTGTGGTTTTTAAGTTGTTTAAATATTAAAAAAAACATTTTACTATTTAGTAATTGTTTTCTTCTTTCCAATTCATTATATTGCAGAAATTAGTTACGACATGTTTCGTTGAGCAACTCTCATGGTCAAACTGTTGCAACTTTTTGGGGATGATTTTTATTAACAAATTTTTAGAACTTACAAAGCTGCTTATAAATTATTATAAGGGCCTTATATATTATAAAGGCCCTTACAACTTGTTTACTTATCAACTTCTTCTGTTTAAACACAGCACATATCTATGATGTGTTACGCTTGTACATACTCGCCATCCTCATATTTTTCTATAATTTCACTCCTTAATTTAAGAGACATTGCTCTTGTCTTTAGATCCAGGGTTATTAAAGTACATAATAATTTGTAAATATAAAAAAACATAAAACGCGATCTCAACATATATAACTGTACAATTGCTATTTGTATAGCCAAAATTTCATATGTTAAAACAATCCTCGATATATTAGCTTGGGTGAATCGTTACTGCACATTTAATTAAAATTACTAACTATATAATAATTTACTATTATGAAACACCTAAAATACTTCTAAGGTAGGAAAATCATTGTTACAATTGGCAAAATTTTCGCATTTTCATTTTGCCATTAACAATTTTCGGAAAAACTGTTACTTGCTCATAGCTCGTATCTCGAATTTTGCTCGTATGTAGAAACAACGAATCGCACATTTGGCGGCTTGTATCTCGAAACACTCGTAAGACGGGAGACCACTGTATCTGGCAATAATACCTAATTAAAATAAGTTCTTCTTATCGTAAAGCATTTTTGAGCACAATAGTAGTTTGGCGATGGCTAAAAGATTATCTTTTAATATTCTCTCGCATTCAAATTCTGTGCATAAATTGTATTTACGTTAACTTCTGTTTTAGGATAAATTCACAAAATTGGTTTCGATGGTACCTGAAATTCATGCGATGGCCACCATGGGCGAGGATCACCTGTACCTGAAACATTGCGCTGGCAGCGCGCCCACGCAGACGCTGCTCATGGAAATGTTACATGCGAAACGAAAATGAGGCGTTTCTCATCTGACATCCGACTCTGTCGGACATGGACAAGTTCTGCAGGAGTGATTGTCAACCCAATTCGCCCATTAAGCGCCATTCGATGGGCGTCCTTAAAAGCGGATTGAGGTATTTGGCTAAACTGCATAAATGTAAATAAATTTACTCGAATCCCGATACAGAAGAGCCCCAGTGTTGTGTTCAAGAAAACAGAAAATCTAACTAAACCGTAATTATGATATGACAAATTAATGTTATGTGTAAAGAATAAAAATAAATCGCGGGCGCGATCAGGACCACGCGGTCGGTATATTATGTTGTGTGAACTAAAGGACAGTTTAAAGACATTTTCGGACTAGTTTCTTTAATTAGTAGGTTCATTAATTTATAGGTTTCCAGTGTATGTTAATATATAATAGATAACACTAGATTAAGTAAGGAGGCACTTATTTTTTTATTAACAATGGTTACCAAACTGCTCAGTGTAAAACACCTTAAAACAGCGTCGAACAAAAATTAACTTATGTCTGCCTAATTCCTATCTGTTAATTTATTGTTACAATGCGCTGGAACAAGAGATATATAATGTTACCAAGAGTGTGTATAGTCCACGTTGTTGTACGTGACATTTATCATTTTTCAGAAATTTAATAAAGTGTAACTGAGTTATACGTTATTGCAAGTAAATTATATAAATATATTTTGAATGTTATAAAGATAAAATTTTTAAATGTTTAACAAATTGTTCGATATATATATATATATCTTTGTGTGAATTATCTTCGTGTACACACCACCACCAAAATTCAGGAATTATGCAAGATTATATATGTATAGCAAAAATATTTATATTCTATATAGTTATTTTTTGAAGAAATGTTATTGATCTATCGCCTTTCACGAAAGTACAAATAGTATGAATTGTCATAAAACATGCAATAGTTAGACAAATTGAACAGTTCCCAGTTTTAATATTGTTATTGACTTAGGCCAGTTTACTGTGGCCACTAACAGACTCATAGAAACAGATAAATTTTAAAGACAATGTAATTTTATTATACTAGTAATATACTTTTGTTTTATACAGTTAGTATGATAGTTTCATTTTATTGGATTTTAACTTATTGTTGGATTGATTCCAATTATTACATGATGTTATTTTACAAAACATTTATATCATATAGTTCATGAGAAATTGTTTTTATAAAAGCATGTTTTTATAATCATTATTTTAAATCAAAAGTTCGATATTATTTTTAGAAAATTGTATTCTTTGAGGAATGTTTTGATATGACTGTTAGTGTACTCAAGCAATTGGCTTTAAAAATATATAAATATTTAAATATTACATGGATTTGTTGAACATTTGTTGGTAATTTGAGTTGTATTTTACATATTTAATGATGATCAATATTGAATTTTATGTTACTGAGAATCAACATATTTTTCTATGACCAGTTATATATTGAAATCTATAAGTACAAATCATATTATGACAATTACTCCATTGCAAATTGGTATTAAATAATAGAAATAAATTTTATTGATACGTTATGACATGACAGAAATATTTAAAAAATTACTGTTAAAAGCAAGAATAATTGCTGCAATGCTAAAAATATTTTTATAAAGGATTTAACAATATTCTAGAATATAATGGTTACAGAGTGTAAGTTCTCAACAATTCACAAAGCTAAAAATCATTGACAATGAAATGAATTAAATATATAAACTCGTAGCAAAGAATGGCTTGTGGCTGACCGAAGGTGTGATTTAATTTGGACTAAGATTACTAGTACTAATAATGTTTATTTAGATATAATTTAAAATAAAACTTGTAACTGTGTTCATTTAATAATTACTCTAACGAATGAATTTTTGTATGAGAATTGAATCTAAAATAAAACATTCCAGTCAAAGCTGGAGGGATTGCGGGCATACACGAAAGAATGTTTGAAAGAAAGATTTGGATTTATTTGAAAATCTCTCAATAAAATTATGAATATTTGAAATAACTCTAGTTAAATCGATGGTGCAACAGTAAGTGATATGAATTGTTTATTCAAAATTTTGTTTAAAAACTCACAATTTTTTAAAAAAGGCATTCCAAATTATTTTGGCTATGAATCTAAAATATTATATTTGATGAGTTGTATATATATATATATATATATATATATATATATATATATATAAAGATATAAAGATATATAAGTAATAAGTAGATTGATATTTATATATTGTTGAGAATGGATGTTATATTATAAATAAAATGTTTTCACTTGGTGATGGATATACTAACAATTTTAAGATTTTTTTGTATTTAAGTTTAAATATAGATAGAGGAGAATTCATCTACATAACATTACAAAATAGTTATAGTTGTACTTTGTTAAGTCATTGAATTACAGGGTAATACAAATGATTTTGTATTATCACAATGTTGCTGCTTAAAGAATTGTTTTGATTTTACTGTGAAAATTTTGAGATGGACATATTAGTTATGACGATTACAGGCTTTAACCTTCGCACTAAAATTTGTATTTGTATTATAACACTCGGCTTGTGAGACTGCAACTTTAAAAAATTTTATTTAAAATATTCCAAATATATAAATTTCTTGGTAGTTTTAAACGGAATCAAAATTAAATATTACAGAAAAACTTATTATTGAGCACAAAGCTTGATTATTTATGATTGTTGTACTCTCACAAAATGATTGCTCAAAAGCAGAAAGGTTGCTAGCAGTGCTAGATTGTATTATTATTAAATAGCTTTCAGCTTAAATCTGTACATATAAAAATAATAAGGAAATGTGATAAAAATAATTTAACAAAAATCTCTTTCCTTGTATTAAATAAAACTAAATTAAACATTGAATAGAGACGAATGTAAATTAGCTATATATTTTTGTCAGAATTAGCGTTAAGAGGTGAAGTACAATGTACAATGGAAGGCATTATTTTAGTACTAGGTATGTATTTAAAAATAATTCTAATTTGGTCATAGATTGAAATTATATATATGTTTATATAATAATATATTTAATTCATATGGTAACTATCAATTTAATATGCACAAAAATAATTTATCATGAAAGATTTGAATAATTTGTGAATGAAACGGAACTTTATTCGAAATTTAGTTTTGTAGGTACTTATTTTCAAACCTTTTGAAAGTACTTTTAATATTATTTCAATCTTTTATGATATCAAATTCAGCCATAACTCAAATGTAAAATAAAAAAAAATTGTATATCCGAATATTTAAACAATTGCTTTTGAAGCTAGTGGTAAAAATATTCAAACAATTTAAAAGCTGGACATACAATAGTAGTTGTTTTATTAAATAACTATTTAGCATATCAAAACAAAACAGGATTATAATTCTTTTACCGATTTTTATTTTTTTTAGTACATTGTAGCTTGGATATTTACAATCATGTGAAATATTGCAAATATGTAGCTATAATTATTTGTTTTATTTTTGTTCTTATTGAATAAAAATGCCTGTATTAATGAACTTATGCAATCTTGAATTATCACCTGCTTCCTAGGCAATAGTTTATAAAATTGACTTGTTAAGATCTTAAGTTTTACATTGATAAACTAGTTATTTTTGTATATATATAATAGTTTGAAAAAATCATGTTAATTATTTTGTTACTGCTTAGTAACTGGTAATTTCATATTAATTTTCTAAACATTTAAGTATTTGTTGAACACTTGATATTTTATAGATTTAAAACTTATATTATTAGAAATTGTCTTCCGTCAATTAAATGTTAAATTTGAAGAAAATCTTAATTTATATGTATATAGAAAGAATAATTTGATTTATATTATGATACAATATATCAGAATTTGTAAATTATTTTATTTGTTAATATTTTAAAAAATTATTTTATTTTAATTGACATATGCACTGTTTTTCATTTTATGTTTAATGAATAAATAAAAATGTAAATCAAATGTGTTTAATACTTTCTGCCTTTCAACATATATTTTCATTTGTTGTTCATAATAAGACAACAATGAACAAATTTGTAGTTACCAATATTCATATAGATTGATATTTATAAGAATATATCCAAATATATTGTAAGAGTTCCAATATATTTGGAGATAAGAGAATATATTCAGTTGAGTTATGGCTGAAGGTATTTTTACAAAATGCCTTAAATAACTGCATAAACATATATTTAATTTTTTGTATATGCATGTATAGGATTGCATTTGTATATATATATATATATATATATATATAAATTTATATACGAATGCATGTATGGCCATAGATCATATTGTATTTTAATATTAGAATTTATTCAAATTACCTCACATTTATATATTTATTTTACAATTGAAAAATATCAGCATATTTTTTGCATTTGGAGGTACGAAATGTAGAATGCATATACACATACAAAATAAATAAACAAATTGACCAAAATATGTTTCACATGTAGTTAAACTAATTCATTATGTTGATATATATATATATATATATATTATATTTATATATATATATATATATATATATATATATATACATATACGTATATATACATATATATACATATACTTATATATATATATATATATATATATGTATATATATATATATATATACTTATGTTTGTACATATAGATATGTGTATATAGATATGCATACATATTATATGGTACAGAGTTAAGATTCTTTATCACGGTTAATCTTTGTGTAAATATACTTGCAATCAATTTTAGAGTTGTAATTATATGTTTAATAAATAATTTAATGTGTTTTAAATTAAGAACGTGGTTTCATTCAAATACATTTTCAGCATACTTATGCAGTTTATAATATCATTACTGGAAAAGTTTATTTATAGTAACACTGAAAAGAATTCATTGACATGGAGACCTTTTACTATGAATAGATTTGAAAAACCATTATTAAATGATTTATTGTTATTTAAATTTTTAGTTTCAAAGCAGTGAAGAATATTTAAAGTCTATGATTTCTTCAATTTTTTAAAAATGATTGTTTTGAAATTATATATACATCAAAAATGTATTTTTTTTAACTCACAACGTTGTTAACCTTAGTTTACATTTAAAGTAAATACTTTCAGTTCACAGAGACACCAAAAGAAAAATAAATATTAAAGTTTTATGTAAACACCTACGCATAAATTCATTCGCAATTAAACCACTGACAGGACTCGACGAGTTTCGGCGAGTGTCGACAAGTTTCGGTGAGTATCGACGAGTTTCGGCGAGTGTCGGCGAGTTTCGGCGAGTGTCGACGAGTGCAAGAATAATTGCAAATTGCATGAGTGCACTACTATCGAAAACTGCTCTTGACGTATTGTTATAATGATATTATTATAAATAAGGAGCTTGAATGTGAAAAGGTAAAGATATTTTTGTAAATACAAACATTGTATATATATATATATATATATATATATATATATATATATGTGTGTAAAAGAATTATTTCAAACGTCATTACTGACAGTTGACTGTAATACTTGCAACTTATATACAATTTGTTACGTTTTCTTACTATTATTGCACGCTATTTTTTTATATATATCCACTGATGACCTAGATTTTACGCAAAAACGTCTAGAATAATAAATGTTTTAAAATATTTACCTTTAAAATATTTACATTTAAAATGTTTTAATTTTGACAGCAAAATTGTATTATTATTTACGTCGGCTCACCCGTAGGTAAGCGGTTGAGAGCGATGGAACTTGATTCAGGGATCCCGGGTTCGATTACCGGTTCGGTGACAACGATTTTCACTTGGAAATATAGATAGCAATATGTTTCCAAGTGAAAATAGCCCTCACTCGGCATTGCTGCTCTAATAAAAAATGTCAGCCTTATTAGATAAATTCTAATAATAAAGAAATCATCAAATATGGATGGACTAACCATTGGTTTACCATCTAAGAATACGAAGTAAGGAAAAGATTTTGCCCAACCGCTTATAGGACGTAAGTTGTTCTGATTGCTGTTAAAAAAATATGCAAAAAGTAATAATTACGTAAAAATTGCTTCTCGTGGGTATAGTTGCATATATATAATAAAAATGTCATTCAATACTTCGAGTATAGTTGATTAGTCATAATTGGACAACTACTGGGTTGCCATCCATTCAAAAATTTATATAATAGAGTCAAAACAATTAATGAATGTCCTAAGTGTGACAGATTGTAATTTAAAAAAATCATTACGTGAAATAAATTATTATGACTTACCGTATATTTTCATATTATTAATTAAAAATGGTTAATAATGACGTTAATTGAAACAATCACTTAATCAATTGAACAAGATTTAAATTATAAATTAAAGTATACGAAAAGTTTTTCTGTGTATGTAATTTGTATTAATTGCACCGCATTATTTTGGATATTTTTTAATATATTATATTATGTTTTGAATTATATGTTTTATACATATATCATATTTAAATATAATTATAATGCCAATATTTTCGAATTTAGTATAAAATTTTAAGGTAATCATATGGTTAGGTTTGGTCGCTACAGGGCAAACAAATTTTTCTGGAAGCAGTATTTGCGCCTTTTTCAGTTTTTTTTTGTCTCAAATTGTTTCGATTTTTTGGAAACGTTCTTATTAACTTCCTGTAGGATAATCGCAAAAAAAAATAGAAAATGATTTTTTTATATATCTTTACGATTCAGAGGTTTCTAAATATTTTGGCATATCTTAGAAAAATTGGATGTACATATGTATATGTGTGTATATGCGGATACAAATTTTTGTTGATGATTTCGTGAACACGGATCAACCGATTTGAAAAAATAAGAAAACATTCGATTATTATTGATGGGAAAACGTGCTGATTAGTTTTTGGCAGAGACAGGTCCAGCCGTTTTGAAGATTCGGGGCAAAAAGTGCTAAAAATGGTAATTCAGTTTTAAAGATAACGGAGCCGATTAAAATGATTCAAAAAACATTTTATTTGTATTAGCGAAATGAAGAACTGATTAAATTTTTGGGAAGGTAGGCGCAACGGTTTCGGAGATCCATTAACAAAAGAAAAAAAAAGCCTTTTGGCAGTCTAGAATGATCATTAGCATATGCACATCAAATTATCATATATTTTATAGAGATTTTACTAATAAGTACAAATTTAGTTTACATTGTTATGGGTACCGTACCAATTATCCCTTAGACTGCGAAAGCTGTTATAAATGTTTAAATTTTTAGTACGGAAAGTTCCAGTAAGTGCCAATTAATTTTATATATTTTAACATTAATTATTTCTACAAAATTTGAATCGAATTAACTGTACATATCAAAATACTCGATTTGAAATAGGAGCACTGAAAACAATACAAATCACTCAACTTAATTATGAAGAAAATTGTACCAAATTTTATGCAAACCTTGAAGCCAAAAAATAGATACTGGTAAGCATCCATAGTTCAAAAAAACATAGAATGTTTTGTACTTATTGTTAGTAATTTCAATTAAAAAACAATTGTTTTTTTAAATCTTCAAATAGTATTTTTATGAACAATTTTTATTTATAAAAGAATTAAAAAAAATATTTCAATTATTTACATTACAAAGCATGACTTCAATGATTTAAGGTTGTGGCTGATGGTATATCGCGTAAGACGTTACTCAGATTGGAGCTATCCCTGGCTTAGAAACTTTCTTTTGTCGATTCCTATAGTTGAGATTACGCCTTTGTGAAGTCAAGACGTAATCTTTTAAAGCCAGCAATTTTTATATAATTTAAAATTTAATATTTTCTGTTGAGCTATTTCGAATAATAATATAAAATGATACTTGCGATCATAATTTTTATGGTCGCTGTAGTAGTGTGGATGTGGTGCGATACCAGAAAACCATTTAGATATCCTCCAGGTGAGAGTGATTTTTTGCAATATTTAATAATTGAGAAACTACCAGAAAAAATATTAACAGAATTAGTTCATTGTAAATTTGATAAATCACGTTATAAATTAGGTTATAGAAAAATATGCCGTAGATATACTTTTTCGAATATACTTAAATACCAATGTGTTACTACTTTCATTCTGGTAAGTTGAAATTGTTATCAGTTTTATCAATATATTTATGTGTACAAAATAATAATAAAAAATATTACGTTTTTAAAAATCCATTCATTTGCATTTTAAATATGTGCATTATATTGCATTCACATATTTGCAATGTGTTGTGTTATAAATTTTGCAACAAGTGCTGCAGTTCTGAAATTTTTAATTCTTTTCGACGATGCATACTTTCTAAAGAATAAAATAAAAAAAATACTAGTTTTATTTTGGAAATGGTTAAATTCATACATAATATCTGATTTAGTCGAAACTAAACATGAAAGATGGTTTCGAGCGCATTTTGCAAAATCATGCATTTTTGGGCACGACGGGAATCGGTCAAGGGGACGATGGTTGCGATAGGTCATGGAACTCTGTTAATGATCACGTGGACCGGTTTTCCCGAATATCTTTTTCGAAGTCGATGCCCTTTTGCTTCTCGTTTTGTGTCTGATGTCGTTGATTCATCTCGTGGAATTGCCGATATCGCGAGCTTTCGAGACATTCCCTCACATTGGCCGTAGGAGATGATTTTTCAGGAATATCATTTTTGAAACCACAATTGTATAATTTTCGTGTTTTCATTTCGTTTTTTTTCATTTAGATATGTATAAACACACATACTGCGAGAAAAAGTATCAGATTTGCAATTGTGCCGCTTTATCATGATCAATGAAGCGTGATGGTACAAATTCAGGGAATCTTAATTGTTATCTATGCAAGGTATCATTTAACAAATGCTGATTACCTATTCGCGTTTTGTGTCTTAATGTTTAGAAGTAACATTGGAAATGTGGCTATTTTATAAAAAAGATAATATTTGATAATTTGAATGGCAATATGGTGAAATGGAGGTGTTTAATCAGTGTTTATTTTTTGTTTCAAATCACATTTATATCTGTATGTCGATAGTATTTCTGGTAACTATAAATCAAACGAATACATTGGTTATATAGCAAACACAATAAATATGCTATATGAAGATCTTCTATAATCCATAGGAGAAATATTAAAATGGCATGGTGTGTTGTTTTATAATTATATTTCTTTATTTAGTGATATTATAGCCAGTCTCAACCAGTTTATTGACTACCAGTAAGATAGTATAGTAGGAAATATAATTTTATTATAATATTTATTGAAGAAAAATGCAATCTATTACAAAATACATTTTGACCGCGGACAAAATGACATAAGATAAGGACATATTGAAATGCTCATTTTTTAAGAAAGCAGTTTACAAATAAATCGTTTGGTCCTTTTTTGGAGATCACCACATGAAGCATGGACCCAAAAGGTAGTAAGTAGTTATAGGGCTGAGAAGAAAAAAAAAAAGATTTTGCTGAAAATACAAGTTTTGCATACTTGGAGTAAATGTTAAAAGCCATTTGATCGTCTTTGAGGGTTTTTTTTCTTGGTCTTATAGTACTTCCAAATAGTACTACATATGTCATTTTGTCCATTATATGGGTTTAATTAATCAAACTTCACCTGAACCTATCAAACAATCAATTTCCATCAAACATCTGATTATTGCAATAAAATTGATTGAAATCGCTAGTACTTTCATAGGTTCTTAAACTTTAATTGAAATAATTACAAACAACAATAATCAGGTCCCAAAAACACAACATCAAAAAGCTTTTCAAGTCGCAAAACACGTTTGAACTCATTACTACGACAATGACGCTAAACATCTGACAGCATTGTGATTATGGCTTTCATCATGTTATACAGTCAGAAACGTTATTTTTTTTTTAATTTATTTGAACAGCGATCAGAACTTATGGGTTCTATGAGCTGGTGTGATTAATATTTTACAAACTACGTTTGTTTTTATTAGAGATGGCAACAAAAACAGTTGTCTCATCTCTATGTGCTGAATTTTTATTTTATTACTGCAATAGTGATGCATTTAATTGGTGCAGCAATGTCGTATTAGGGCTGTTTTCACTTGGAAACATATTGCTATCTATATTTCCAAGTGAAAACCGTTGTCACTGCCGCCTGACAACAGGCTGCTCGAAGTGGGTATTGAACCCGGGACCCCTGATCCAGGTCCAGTTGCGAAACTTTAATGAAACAAGATAATTTTTAAACAAGGCCACTGAGTCAATGTGTCCGTATTTACCCTACAACTATTCGAATCATAAGTAACAAAACTATTTTTACCTAATATTAAAATCCGCAGCTGCTAGTGATTTTATTAAATTGAACTTAAATGTGATTTTTTTTGTAGAAAAACTTTGATTTCATACAAACCTTAGCCATGTTTCAAGTTTCTTGTAGCTATTACTTTAATGTTATCTCTGTTTTTTTTTAATTTTTCTTTTGATAATGAATGTAAAGCTTCGGATGTAGGAATTGGAGATGTAAAGATTCAAGTGAATATATTGAATAATTTTTAACAAATGCTTATATTATATTTGTAATATTTAGCAGGCGTTTTGATTATATTCATAGTCATAATTAAGTAATTATAATAAGTTATTACAAAAACGAATCAATACATACAGTGAGTAGCATTTAACTTGATTGTTTGTAAGTTTCAACAGATTATTTTAAATACCAAGACTTTTTGTGAAACCCTCGTCCTTATGAAAAAGGTTATAAATGCCAGTGAATAAAAATTAAAACTCAATTATGAAAACTGCCAAAATATATTGCAACAGTTTTTCTTAAAGTTTTAGTATGGTAAAATATTAATATAAATATATATTATCATCACTTTTCATATTTGAGGTTTAAGTTATTGGTATATCTATTCTTTAGGTCCAGCATGGTTACCATTGATTGGCAATCTTTTATACCTGTGGCGTCGTATGTCGGTGATCAAGTATCATCACTTGGTCTGGAGGGAGCTTTCGGATCGCTACGGGTCTCTGGTTGGGCTCAGGCTGGGTCGAGATCGCCTTGTGTTGATCTCAGGAAGAGATGCCATACATGAGGTTTGCACAAGGGAAGAATTTGATGGAAGACCTGAAGGATTCTTCTTTCAGATGCGAACTTTCGGACAGAGACTAGGTGAGGATATACGGTTAAACAAGTGGTGCATGGCATCGTGCCTTAAGGAAATTTGCTAAAACTTCCCGTACCGTAATTTAAAATTATTTTTTTTTTAAACTTTGGAAAAATTTGATTTTCGAGAATTTGGAAATTTTTGAGAAAAAGGGATTTAAAAAAAAATATTTTTTTATATTTGAAATTTTATATGAAAATTTAGATTTTTTTCAAAGCAATTGCGCTGCATATCTGTTCTAAAAACGAATATCGAAGCGCGTATGCGCTACATTTCAGTCTAAAGTTAAACATTATGTATCTTGATACGAAACGCATAGAAATGTAAACAAAAAAATTTGATGTGCATGTCTAATCATCATTTTTGACCGCCAAATGACATTTTTTTACTGTTTTTGCTGGATATCCGAAACCTCTGGACCCGCTTCACCAAAAATTTGACCACTTTTTGTCATACAAGTAAAATGTTTCTTGAGTTATTGAAATCGGACGCTCCGTTATCTTGAAAATTGAATTACCATTTTTGGCACTTTTTGCCCCTCATCTTCGAAACGGCCGGATCTGTGCCAGAAACTAATCAGCACGTCTTCTTATCAATACGAATGAAGTATTTTTCAAATCAGTTGATCCGTGTTCTCGAAATCGTCGACGGAAAATTGTATTCGCACATGCATACACACACGCACACACGCACACACATATACTTACATCAATTTTTTCTAAGGCATTCTAAAATGTTCAAAAACCTTCGAAACGTAAAGATATATCAAAATGTTCATTTTCGATTTTTATGCGATTACTGTAACTTACCTTACGGGAAGTTAATAAAAGACGAAACATTCGGTTTTAATAATTTTATGGATATAATAACTGAACATTATTGTCCAGTAGTAGTATTGAACATTGAAACAAACTATGCTTTACATATTTGCTAAACGACTGTATGTTCAGTAAAAATCCCATAATTCATCATTCTCGGAATATTTTTTTGTTGTTTTTCAAAAATTTGTAACTTGCTCTTTCTTACCCCATCGGCGCGGTAAATTGTGGCGGCCAAAGGGCAAATAGGTCCAATGTTTTAATTTTAAAGGGTTTTTACAAAATAATAGCTACATTATTCAAGCAATGCAATATAAATAGAAATTTCATTGGCAATCCTGGATTTGCAGTAGGGGCAGTCGGGGCTAGTGCCTAGGGCGGCAAAATCGGAAAGTGAGAAAAAAAGTTCATAAACCTTTAGAACATAAAGATATACAAAAAAAATCATTTTCGATTTTGTTGCGATTACTGTAACTTATCCTAAGAAGTTCATCGAATGTGCCTGTGAAGAAAGTCTTTAGTGGAAAACTTATAATTCTTTTTGTTAGAACAAATATGAATATTTTGTTATATTATAGTATTTAATGCGTAATAAATTTTCTGCAATCATATAGTTATTTTAATTTAAAAAAATGAGACTTAAAAATTATTTAAGTAAAATGGAGCGGCATTTTCGTCAGTGTCCCAGGGCGCCAAATTTGTATATCCGGCCCTGTTCATTGTTGCATTTTTTACGGAGATAACACTATAATCAACCTTGATCTGATATTTCGTCGGAAATATTCATCAGCAGAGTTAGAATAACTATTTATTTAATTTTTTTCTTGTAAAATTGCTTATTTTAACTTAATTTGATATTGTATTTGCTATTCTTTATTTTTTACACTTTTGCCAGAGTAAAGGTTTAGTTGGCCCCTTTTACCCCACCCAAATGTAAGCTTTTATAGAGGTTATATAAAAAAAACTGTTGAATCTAATTTAAAATTAACAAATACATCTAAAATCATAACAAATACAATTAAATAACTTAAATGTATTTAACAATTATATTAAGGATTGGAAAATAAAGCAACAGTGCTCACAATCAAACCAAATAACAACACAAGAAACTACTTTTGCTATGGATTTTTAAACATTGCCGTTTTTCTCTCACTAGCAACGTGGTAGGAATGAAGATGGTGTCTGGTTTTATCCATCTTTTGTCTCTACTTTTAAATATTGTTAAAAAAATTCTTACCTTCACTTGTTTTTGAGATATCAGTGGTGGACCTTCTTACCCGCGGATCTCTAAGCCCCGCTCTACCTTATATTGTTAAAGTAATTACTGTAAACGCAAGTCGTTTAAAATTATAAATTGTGTCAATCCCATCGTCTTTGTCAGTCAGTTCGTCGATACAATGACAGTTGTGCCGTTACGGCCTACCAGGGCATCATGCGCCACGCGCGCTCTGTCCCAGTACAAGCGCGGTAGCGAACTCACGGTATCCATTCCGCTCGAACAGCGCGTGAAGCCCTGGTATCACCCATCGATTTGTACGATCAGAATTATGTTGGCTGCCCGATATATCGATACTTGATACAAATAATATTTTAACGAACCTGTCAATATAATACATATGGCTACATACAAAGTCTTGCGGACTTGAAGTTAAACCTGATAAACCAAGAGTAAGTGAAGATGCTGTGCGGCGTCAGTAGCGGCGTTTGCCTATATAGGCTGCGGGTCAAATTCAATTGGACAAACTTGGTGTGTCAACACTTGCATTTAGATTATTATTATTGTTACACTATTTGTATTATTAGCTTAAATATATATATATATATATATATATATATATATATATATATAATTAAATACAAAAAATAGTATAGTATTTAAAATTTATAAAATAATAGATAAATCAATAAGGCAAATCTAATGTTAACATAATTACAAGAGTGCCATTAAAAAATATACAAAGCTAAAAACAGTAAATACATATATAAACGATGACATGAAAATGAAATAAAGTAAAATAAAAATAAACTTACTATATAAATTATTCGAAAAACATAAAAACTACACTCAATTTTTCAAATAACTTGTGCCTAAAGTCTTCTAATTTTGTTTCATTTTATTAGTTTTGTTTTACTATATAATATTGTTGATTACTTTATAAATTTTACATATATATTATTAACTTCCCGAAGGAGAAGTTTGTTTTCATAAAAAATCCGATTTGTTAATTTTATGTTTTCTCGACGTTTCAAGCCATTCTGAATCGAGTGAGACCAAATTTGGGAAAAGCATGTGTGTGTATGTGTGTGTGTGTGTGTGAACAGATTTTTTGCCGTAAATCGACGTTTCCTCAAAAACGGTTGTACCGATTTCAAAAATTTAAAAGCCAATCGATGCACCTCGATGAGGACTGTTGTATGTCAGTTTTGTTCGACCGGCCAAGCCGTTTCTTTGTAATTTGGAAAGAAGTGTTAAACTTTTCGTCTACATTTAATCTCATACTACCGAATCGATTTTAAAAAATCATAAACTGTTCGAAAGATATTAGTTGGGAACGATACTGATTAGTTTCAGGTGAAAATCTACTAAGCCGTTTTCTTGTAATTAACTGTTGAAAAAACAAAAAACAAACAACTACAAAAAAAGAATAGACGAGCACCCAAAATACTTGGCCAACAAAGTATACTCAGAAGCGCGCCCAACAAGACTAAAACGAAAAATTCCAAACGATCTTATAAATTTGTAAATTATTATTATTATTATTATTATTGTTATTATTATTGTTATTGTTATTATTATTATTATTCCTATTATTATTTTTATTTTTATTATTATTATTATTATTATTATTAATATTATCTTACTATTTCTATTATTGTTATTTTGTTATATTTTATTATTTTTCTAGTATTATTTTATTATTCTGAAATTTTATTTATATTATTTATTAATCTTATTTTTATTATTATTTGCTTATATTTTACATTAAATCATATTACGGATATTATTTTTATGTAAATTTTATCCTTTGCTCTTTTATTTATTTAAATTTATATTATTATTTATCAATATTACTTGATGTTAATAAATTAGCAGTTGTAATAATTATTGAAATTAAAAAAAAAAAAAAAAAAAAGACTGTTGAAAAAAAAATTAAGCAGATTTTTATGGAACTTGTTTTGGCGATATATATCATGGTCTATTATAGAACTTGCTGAAATAGTACGGCCTTACGATAAGTAGTTTAATTTTTAAAAAAATATCAAAGTTTGAGAAAATGAGTAGTTTTTTTGACGTTTGTTAAAATTAAAATTAGGTGATTTACTTGGTATAACGATATAGTACTTGGTCTTAATAAACATATTAAACCAATACAGTCCTATGGAAACTGGTTCAATTATAAAAATCGTTGATTTTTGACAATTTGCTATTAGAAAATACTCCGAGTTAACGTGTTTGTTCGTTTTCAATTATGTGTATTAAATCCAGTCGGGATACTCTTAATCACTCATAAATTAGTTTATTTTTTGCCTCAAATACCAATACCAACTAGTTTTTTATGTATTTATTTTGTTGTTTTATCCACTAAAGTCCAACTAGACTCGAAATGTATGGGAGTTTTTTTAGGAATTGTTTTAAATGAAATGTGAACAGTGGGGAACTATTGGAGCGTAAGACTGGCAAAATACTACAGGTCCCTAGAGGAGCCCGGCTTGCGAGCCAAAAATATTTTTAGTTTCTTAAGATCAATTCTTTCGACGTCGATTTTAATATAGATAGATTAGTTTTCATTGTTGAGATTCAATTTACAGATTTTTTTTTATAAATTTTAATTAAAGTTCTTTTTTTTTAAATTGCTGCTAAAATCAAACCGAGTACCACGTGGCGATTTTTACTGATGGGGCTTTGCATCAAAAATTGGCACGGGCCTTGGATGGTACAGATACGCCACTGTATGAAGAAGAAATTATGATCCTATATTGTTTTTTCTGCATGATTACTTTTATTAATTTCTTGTAGAGTAAGTTATAGTAATTGCAAAGAAATCGAAAACGGAAATTTTTATATATCTACGTTTCAAAACCTTATGAACATTTTGGCATATATTAGAAAACAAGTGATGTATGTGTATGTGTGTGTATGTATGTGCGGATACAATTTTTCGTAGACGATTTTGAGAACATGGATCAACCGATTCAAAAGTCAAATTTTTAAAGTCTCAAAAATCTATTCAATATTAAAGTTTTTAAAAATTTTAGCAATTTGCCTTAAGGCACGATGCCACGTATCACTAATCATTTTCTTTAGATCGACCACAAAATATACTATTATATCAATTAATAAAAATATAATAATTTAGCAACAAATGTAACAGTGTTTGTTTTTCGTCGTCAGGGGTTGTATTCACCGACGGGCCCTTGTGGGCAGAACACAGGAGATTTTCGGTGCGTCATCTTCGCTCGCTGGGATTTGGTCGTAGCGGAATGGAGCGTTTACTACAGGAGGAAAGTGACGGATTAATCGTTCAATTAAGGGAACGTGCCAAAGAAGGACCTGTTTTTATGCACACAGCTTTTGATGTTCCTGTACTGAACGTCTTATGGGCTATGATGGCTGGGAAAAGGTATGGCTAAAGCTTTTGTTAGTATATCACATAAATACACTTATCCCCCGTTTTTCACGGCCTTCGTTTCACACGTTTTTGATCTCACGCGATTTTTAAAAGTATTTTTTTTCGATTTTGTTATTAATTTTGCACTTACTCGAAATATAATATCAAAGTACAATACTACAAAATATATGTTACTGTTACGAATTCTTAAAATTAGTAGTCTAAGATGGATACTCCCCATCAACCGTTTTAGATCAACCTGATGAAACTAATTCTTAAGCGTGTATAAGCTAGTTTGTTTGGAATACCATTGTTTTAAAACTTTGTTCTTAATTAGCTTTTGATAGCGTTCATTTATTCAAGGTGAGCAAATAATATAATTTTCTTTTACAAAATCTATAATTTTTAACTATAGTTTTACAATGGCAAAAGATGAAACTAGAGAGTAAAAGAAAGGTTATATTTAACAAACCAAAATTGAAATTTTGAACCAACTGGAAGAATAATACATGTTGCTAATATTTATTTTATGAATTAAGCTAAAATGAGAATAACAACAACATAAGGAAAGTGTAGCTGCTTGAATGTCCAAAAGTCTAACCACAATTTCTCTTCTTGAAACTAGTTGGTATAGGTATTTAGCCTTGAGGCAAGTTACATGAACTTCCCGATATGTGTAAATAATCGACTTAATCAATAAAAAATAAATTAATTTATGAGTGATTAAAAGTATTTCGAGTGGGTTTATTATACATAATTGAAAACTAACGAACACGTTAATTCGGAGTATTTTCTGAAAGCAAATATTCAAAAATCAATAATTTTTATAATTGAACCAGTTTCCGTAGGACTTTAATGGTTTAATATGTTCATTAAGACCAAGTACTCTATCGTTATACCAAGTAAACCGTCTAATTTTAATTTTAGCTAACGTCAGAAAAACTACTCATTTTCTCAAACTCTGATGAATTTTTAAAATTAAACTATTTATCGTAAGGCCGTACATTACAGTAAGTTCTACAAGACCATGATATATACCGCTAAAAAAAGTTTTATAAAAATCAGCTTAATTTTTTTTTTCAACAGTTAATTACAAGAAAACGGCTCAGTAGATTTTCACCTAAAACTAATCAGTATCATTCCCAACTAATATCTTTTGAACACGTTTTTTTAAAATCGATTCGGTAGTATGAGCTTAAATGTGGACGAAAAGTTTAGCACTTATTGTTAAATTATAAAGAAACGGCTTGGCGGATCGTCGCACAAAACTGACAAACGATAGTCCTCATCGAGATACATCAAATGGCTTTTAAATTTCTGAAATTGGTTCAGGCGTTTTTGAAAATGTCGATGAAAGGTCTAATTTTGACAAATGCCAAAAAAACGATACCAATCTTTGCAAACTTTGACAAATTCGTAGGGCCGTAATATTTTAGTATAATCTAGAAGTATACGGTATCTACCGTCAAAAAAATATAATAAAAATCGTCGAAAAAAAATTTTTCAACACTTTATTACAAGAAAACGGCCCGGCCGATGTTTACCAAAAACTGATCAGCACGATTTCCAACCAATAACTTTCGAACGGTTTTTGAATTTTCATAATCGATTCATAATTGCGGGCTAAAACGTGGACGAAAAATGTTTCACTTTTCTGCTATTTATAAAGAAACGTTTCGTCCGATCGTCGCAGATGGTTCTCATCGAGATACATCGAATGGCTTTTAAATTTTTGGAATCGGTCCAGCCGTTTTCGAGAAAACGTCGATTTACGGCAAACAATCTGTTCACATACACGCACATACATACTTTTTCCAAATTCGGCCTCATTCGATTCAGAATGGCTTGAAACGTCGAGAAAACATAAAATTAGCGTATCGGATTTTTTGATGAAAACATTAACTTCTCCTTCGGGAAGTTAATAAATTAATTTTCTTATAATTTATTAAATGTGTTTGATATTAAACATATTAATATTAATTTTTTGTTCAATAAATTTTTATTCATCACATTAAAAACTGACCAAAAGTGCTTTTTATAGTGATATGGGCTTAGTAAGGATTTTCCATATACGAGTGAATTTTTCGAGCTATACGGTTTTTTATGAAATGAATCTTACTTGTAAAACGGGTGATAGCTGTTTATTTGAAAATGATGACTTTTTTAAGTATAAAATAATTGATTCTTATAACTTGATCCATTATAATTGCTTTAACAATTTTCAGATTTGAATTAAATGATAAACGCCTGCTGCGTTTATTCGATCTGGTACACGACAGCTTTCGTATGTTAGACATGTCAGGCGGTCTTTTGAACGAATTACCCATTCTCCGTTATATTGCTCCGAATTGGTCGGGCTACAACCAAATTAATAAAACTTTGAAAGACCTGTACGATTTTTTGAAGGTAGGTTATACATATATATATATATATATATATATAACAGATAATATTTACAAAGTACTTACAATAATTTTAGGAAACCGTTGATGAACATCGAGCTACATTCAATGATGAAGTGATTAGAGATTTTATAGATGCATTTTTTCATGAGATGAAAAATAATGCAAATGGATCTACTTTTACAGGTACAATTTCGTTTCGAACACTTAAAATTTAATGTTAATTGTAAAACTTATAAATTTTCTTTGAAAATATGGGATTCATGGGAATGTATATCAATTTTTGTCTGCTTTATATAATGATATTTAATTAATTAACAGTTTTTTAGTATTCTCATTTAATTACATTTTTTTTTACTGTCTGCAACTAATTACTAAATTAATTAAAACATAAATTAGTTGCAGCATAATTATTATTAATTTTCAATGAATATTACAATTGAAAATGTTAGGTAGTAATTTTAAATATGACAAAAAAAAATCCATAAATTAAATTTTGTGTTTTCAGAGCAGCAATTGTTGTCACTATGCTTGGATTTGTTCCAAGCTGGCTCAGAAACGACAAGTAATACGTTAGGATTTGCTGTTTTATATGTCATTCTTTATCCAAATGTTCAAAAAGAAATACATCGAGAATTGGACAGAGTCGTTGGAAAGGACAGACCACCAACGTTACAAGATCGTTCAAAGTAAATTATTTAAATGAGTAGATATTTACTGTTTATTGGTTAATTTAATTGAAACAAGTGATTATTTATTTCATAATTTACATAATTTTAATTAATCTCTAATGCATATAAAAATAAATTGCAGTTTACAGTATATAGTTGCGGTTTTAATGGAAGTTCAAAGAATTGGCAACATAGCTCCCGTATCTGTTGGTCACAGAGCAATGAAGACTTCAGAATTGCGAGGTCACATTATACCGAAGGTTAGGAGGGTACGTGCAATTCGAAATAAACCTATATTGAAGCTTGCATTTTGTGCATTTTAGGATACCATAATATTGATATCCTTGCATAGTCTTCATAATGATCCCGATTTCTGGAAAGACCCTGATGTATTCAGGCCGGAACGATTTCTCAAGCCTCAGGCTGAATCTTCATTGAGCAGCGAATACCTAGCTCCTTTTGGACTTGGTAAGAAAAAAAGTACTTCTAATAATGAATATATATATATATATATATATATATATATATACTATTAGATACTTTAATTGACGAAACATACGAAAAAATCAAGCAGTTTAAATTGTTTTTAACCATACCATATATAAATATGCATCACGATTATATAAAAAATCGATGAATATTCTCCTGGAGATTATCAGAATGATTATAAAATAAAAAGCTATAGATTTTATCGTTAAAATTTTTTTTGTGACCGGTACAAATATTTGTCCGATGATGCCAGGACTAGAGAATATCGGGGGATGGTATTGTTTTCTATTCAAGCTGTAAAAGCTTTTGGCGATTAGCCAAACTTATGTGAAGGCGCGCGGCGTCTTGATGCAATACTATACCTTGCTTATTGGTTAATTCTGGTCTTTTCTTTTGAAGGACATCATTTATTTTATTCAGCTGATGACATTAGGCATCCGTTACATTATTCTGGAAAAGCTGAAAAACAAAGTAATTCTTCAAAATCTCACTAAACATACTGCATCTCTTTTCTGGCGAAATCGGCTTTGCAACTATTTTGAGCAGGTTCTTCTTTTTTGTTTCCTGAGCAATTGCATGTATTTTCTATACGACCCATTTTACATTCCTGGTGACAATTCACATCAAGAACTTATAATTTCCATAATTATTCAGAGGCGAATCTCTATGATTCAGATTTTTCTCTATGAGAACCATACATTGAGAAAAATCCAAGATCCCTCAAGTGGTCATGAACTGTTAAATATGATAAATTCAAACTCAGTGCGATCTCACGTGTTGTTATTCACTTGTTTGCGTCAAATATTGCCTTTTTCGCGTTTTTTATTAGCTTCAACAGTTCTTGCTAAACGTGGTACATCTCCTACACCAAAATATCCGGAACCAAATTCAACATACGAGTTTTTGCACTGTCGTTCTATCAACACATCTTTTTCATATACATCAAGTAATTTCATTCTAGATAAAATTGTATTTTTACCTTTTTATAGCAAAAGAGTAAATTATGTTGAAAAACGCTGATCATGGGGCGTCCATTGATCACGTGAGATCCATTGATCAGGAAATAACACATGGGGGTCTAGTAAGATATCACGTGTATTTATTTTTAACCTGATTTTTTTTAAAAAATCCAAACATTTTCGAAAAAAATCAAAAACTTAACAATTTTTTCTCGTAACTAAAAATACACGTGATTTTTGGTGGAGGAGGGGGGAATTTTGAATATTACCACGTATAACCAAGGGGGAGAGGGAGTCCAAAAATCCTTAAAAAATCGATCACGTGATTAATGGATGCCCCCTTAATTTTTTCAGTATTTTAAGTCCAAAAACTACTGCGCATAATTGATTAGAATTTTTTGTGGTAAATTTTTATGTGGTAAAGGAAGTTTTCACTTACAAACCTCAATATATAAATAAGCTTTCAATTCATATGATAATTATAGGGCTTAAGTGTGATGTTAGGTTGAAAAAAATACAGTTACTCGCGATCGCGATCTTCAACAGTACAAGTCCTTGCGATATTAGCTATTAAACAATCCTATGGCTAAGTTATTTTATGAAGCATAACAGCAATCGTTTAAAGCTTAGACTTCTTTTAACATATGTGTAAAGTCTAAAATACATAATATTATTTGACAGGCAAACGGCGCTGCCTAGGAGAAGCGCTGGCGCGTTCTAGCCTGTTCATATTTTTTGCTCGTCTACTGCAATGCTTCGAACTCCGCGCCGTAAACGGTGAGCAACCCCAGACGACCGGTCTAGACGGAGTCACCTTAGCCCCGAAGCCCTTCCGAGCTCATCTAATACCCAGAATCTGAATGCAGACCTGATTTAATCATATGTGGATATAGAACTTCGATAAAACCTGATGAAATCAGTTTAGTTGTATTTTTAAGAACTCCTTTTCTTAATCAACGAACATCGTGCGGACCTTGCAACAAATTTTGATTTTGGTTGATTATTGTCTTGGATTTTATTATTAAGTTTGATTGAAAATTTTCTTTCATTTATTTTTGATTATACGATTGGGCAATCTTGTGATATAGAATTACACAAAAAAGGCGAACAGGAATGGGGTCATTCAATAAGTTGCATTCAAATGATAATAGCAAAAATACTTAGAGTACTCATTGCTTGTGATAACTTCAAGTTCAATTAAGTCTTCGATATTTTATTTATTTTTAAATTATTTGTTTAAACACTTATAGTTATGTCCATGAAATCCGGTAATTTTGGTAAACATATTAGTAAACATGCACCATTTTTACCCATTTTACTAAAGCCATCTATTGCATAAAAATTTTCATTTATAGTAGAATTTTCCATCTGAATTGTAGAAGGCGTATTTGTACAAAATATACACTTTTTAAATTTTCACGGGAATTTATTAATTTTTGCTCGATAATTTTTATAATATAGCGGAACTCATAAACAATTTCATTTGTTAAATATGTCAATTTCTGGATAACGTCCTTAAGTATGATGGGTTATTTTGAACTGGGTTTTCTAGTCGATACTACGATTATACAAAATAGTAATGATGATGATAATAGTATAGTGCAAAAGAGAGAGTTAAATTTTGGAAATATATTTCTAAATAATGCGATTGTCTAAGCAACATTTACAATAAGATATGCATTAAATTCCTACATTTTGAGTTGATATGTGCGTCAATGTTATAATTAAGGAAATGTAAGTTATGCATAACTGAAAAAAAATATTCTCAGTTAATTCTCTTTAGAACTAGATGTGTCAATATTTAAATTATTATTGAATTATAATTTGTCTATTACTACTTAAATAATAATGTGTTTTATTTTATGATTACACATACTTACACATACAGACACACACACACACACACACACACATATATATATATATATATATATATATATATATATATATATATATTGAATGGTAGAGTCTTGGATTTGTGTATATTTTGTAGAGTTTCGAACAAGAATCCAAAAATAATACAAAATAAAAAACAAGAAAAGTTTTTAAAAAAACAATTTCTTTATTTAATTATTTGTTTATTGTCGACGTTTCGGAACTAGGTACGTTCCATCTTCAGGACATCTGTCAAGAAACATGATCTTGATGAGATTTTAGCAAACAATATGTTTAGGAAAAGAAAATAGATTTTTCTTAAATAATGAATTAAATTGTAAAAAATATAATAATGTACAGAAATATGATAATATGTTCAAAATAAAAATGATAAAAATAAATGAGTGGATTATCAGAACAGGATATTAAACATAATAGAAAAATTTTTTTGAAAGTTATGGAAATTTTTTAATGGAAAAAAAAAACACACACATACAATCTCACATCTCTCGTTCAAGTGTTTACACGTGTTACAAAAGGCACACCAGTTTCATTTAGTTAATTTTCGAAAACCAATCGAACAACATCCAGAGAACAATATTATTTGTGTTTTCAAATAATAATTTTAAAAAAGACAAATTTTTTAGTAATTTTGATTTACAAAATCTAATTATTCGGCGGAAAATTAACTCACAAAATCATTTTTGTTAAAAAAGCTTGTTTAGTGAAAAAGTGCTAACAAATATTCAAACATACAGGTAATTAATTCAACTTTGTCATTAACCTTTTCTTAAAAAAATTCCATAACTTTCAAAAAAATTTTTCTATTATGTTTAATATCCTGTTCTGATAATCCACTCATTTATTTTTATCATTTTTATTTTGAACATATTATCATATTTCTGTACATTATTATATTTTTTACAATTTAATTCATTATTTAAGAAAAATCTATTTTCTTTTCCTAAACATATTGTTTGCTAAAATCTCATCAAGATCATGTTTCTTGACAGATGTCCTGAAGATGGAACGTACCTAGTTCCGAAACGTCGACAATAAACAAATAATTAAATAAAGAAATTGTTTTTTTAAAAACTTTTCTTGTTTTTTATTTTGTATTATTTTTGGATTCTTGTTCGAAACTCTACATATATATATATATATATATATATATATATATATATAGATTATAGATTCTAATAATGAAGTTTAATATCAATAAAAAGTATACATTTTTTTTGAAAAAAATTATTAAACAGTCCATAGGATTAGGGGTTAGGCTATAGTCGAAGCCTTTATTTAGTGCAAAATTTTCTTATTCAAATTTAAAAATAAGATAAGAATTCATATTTTCATGGATATTGTGCCCAATTATTACATTTTATATACCTATATATCTTATTAATAGTTTTTTCGGCATGGAAACATATATGATATAATAAATAAAATTCTCGGTAAATTAAAATTGTAAAAATAAATAAATTCTTAATAATAGGATAAATAATTATTATACTTTTTGTATTAATTACAAGAAGACTTTATTATATTATTTTTATGCTGATTCTTTACTATTTGTTGATAATATTTTACAGGTTATGAATCTCAATTAAAAACTCTGTTTTGATTCCTTTCTGAGTAGGCTATATTATTCATTAATTCGATCACCTAAGTTTACCCCTTCAAATTCAAAGAAATTTTTCAATTATATATTTTTACAAAAATGTAGAAATATATCACGTTATTAAAATGAAGAATATCGTTCATTGAATTCAAATAATCAGGACGTTTTTATAGAAAATAACTCAACTGTATTTCTCTTTTTTAGATTAATTTTAGTTAATAATATGAAATTTATGGAATATTTATAAATTTAGATTGATTGTGATGCAGCCCTGTCAATTTAAGTGACTCTATCGTAATGAGGCTCAAGGTATTATACAACTGTTCTACTTCTTGTATTACATCTGTAAATTGAATTTGATTGATGTTCTGAAATTGGTCAGTAAATTTATTGTGATACGCTCACACATTACACACACACACGCATTCAAATAGCGCATTCAAATTCCATTTCATTAAACAATGTAATTAAATAATAGTGTTGATCTTCCAGAGAGTCCGATAACAGTTTGCAGAACGGAAGGTTTCAAGTTACAGTAAGCTACTTGTAAATACGCATTGAAACTAAACGAATTTATCATACAATGCTGACTGAAATAAATAAATTATCAGCACTTTCTTCATAATAAAACTGTGATATGGTAGAAATATCATATTACATCTTACAATTAGTCTATGTTGACGTCATTATGCTAAAAATTTTTTTTATCTTGCACGCTGGACGCTCACTGACGTGATACGATCTTTGATTGATTTCTAATTTTAAATTATTTACGTTAATATTTTTATTATAATACTTGTAAAAAAATTCTGACATATTTTAACAGCAATCAGAACCTTACATCCTATTTCAGCTGCTGGGCTGAAACTTCTCCTTACGACGTATTTTTAGATTGTAACAACCGTTGATCCATTCATGTTTGATTACTTTATTATAAGAACTTATCTAATAGGGATGACTTATTTATTCAGTTTGGTGCAGCTATTTCCGGGAAAGGCTATTTTCACTTGGAAGCATATTTGGAGACACATTTAAGTTTAAGGTGCTTGTCGAGCTAAAACTAAATTGGCTTGATCATCCCGCAGGGTAAGTTATAGTGAAATTTTGAAAATGAAATTATCTTCACATGAACATCTTGGAATACCTTAAGAAAAATGGATGTGTGTGTATGTATGTATGTGTGTGTGTGCGTGCGTGCGTGCGTGCGTGCGTGCGTGCGTGCGTGCGTGCGTGCGTGCGTGCGTGCGTGCGTGCGTGCGTGCGTGCGTGCGTGCGTGCGTGCGTGCGTGTGCGCGTGTATGTATGTGAAGATACAATTTTTGTCGACGATTTTGAAAATATGGATCAACCGATTTGAATGTTTTAAAAGACATTCGATTCCTACTGATAAGGAGACGTGCTGATTAGATTTTGGCCAAGGCAGGTCTAGCCGTTTTGAAGATACGGGACAAAAAATGCCAAAAATGGTAATTCATTTTTTGAGAGAACGGAGCGTCAAACTTCAATAAATCAAAAAACATTTCACTTGTATTGGAGATGCAATAAAAAAAGTAAAAAAAGCAATTTGGCAGTTAAAAATGATCATTAGACATATGTACATCGAATTATCAGATATTTTATAGAGATTTTAATAAGTACTAATTTTGTTTACACTTCTATGGGTCCCGTTCCATGATTTATAATGTTTAATCTTTGGACTGCAACGCGCTTCGACCTTTCGTCTTTAACCCTTCCCACTCGCTAATTCCGGAATTAGTATGTGATTTGCCGCCAGAGCGGCGGCATCCGAGTGAAAAGGGTTAAAACAGCGATGCAATGATTGCTGATTGCTCTAAAAATAAGAGTGCGCGTAAGGTTCACACGCGATTGAAGTAAAACTTATTTGCTACTGTACAAGATGGCATTTGAGTAAAAATAAATACATCATATAACAATTTTGAATAATTTTTATTAGTAATAAGGTAACACTCGTGATTCGCATATTTATTAGTGTCAACCATTATACACATTTATATAATGATAAATTATAAATTATATATTTATTTTAAGCATTAAAAATATGTATAATATTTAAAAATAATAATGTAATTGCAGTCATACTTCAAATATGACATGATCGGTTTGTCATTGTAATTAGCATTTAGAAATGAACCTTTATTAGAGAAATGAAGTAATTGCTTATTAATAACTTCTATAATATTTGTTCACACAGTGGATTATGTTAAACAATGCCTAAACAAATATTGTTTGTTACACCCTAGTCGCGCCTAAAAAAGTTGGTAGCAACAACACAAATAATAATGGCGGGATAGTTAAATCTCAAATGTACATATAAAATTACGCTTAACATCATGACATGTCATTACATAAAAAATGTGACAAACAATTTTGTCCAAAAGTTTTACTTAAAAAAATGAATATTTCAAAATAAAAAAAATCAAATTTTTCCAAAAATTCAAATTGTTTCAAAAATTTCAAAATTCAAAAATCTAATTTTTTCAAAGTTTTCATAATTTCATAAAGCTTTTAAAAATTTTAAATTAAGGTACTGGAAGTTCCCGCACTTTGTCTTAAGGCACGATGCCATGCAACATAGTATAAAATTATAATTACCAACTGTTCACATTCTATTCAATGACGCTATTCGAGTATCGAAGGATTGTAAATGTTTGAAAAAGGTTCTTCACCCATGCATTATATTAGTGTGATCTGATCGTCAGGACCCCAGACGGTTTCGTATTGTTATCGCGTTAGTCCAACACAGGAAGCCAGTGCGTACAGTCGGCCGTCGCCTATGCGCCGTTCTTGGCATTCAGCCTACGAAACGACAACGCACGTGCATCGAACGAATCATCATAATTCGATCACATAATAGTAGTTCTGTCTGTTCCGAGTGATGTAATAGTTATGCACAACTTGACACGCCAGATCTAGTTCAGGATTGAATAAGTTAACAATTAATATTGACTCCGAACTGAAACTAAATCGTTCCGGTGTTTCTACTTCAAGTTATATAATTGCGGTGCCTTATTACATTGTCAAGAACCGCGTGTTCTATCAATAGAAGGATTCTCGTGTGACGATGCAACGCTAATCAAATACTAGTGAGTGCTATAGTTATGATTAAGTTTTTGAAAACGTGCTAATTTCTGTGATACTTGAAACCTTTAGTAAAAATACTGAAACGATTAAAAAAATTGTAATTAGTTTGTTTTTCGAAAACAGATATATAAATAATTAGTTGTTTGAATTTATTATTTTTAATTGACGTATTACGGACAAAATGTATAGTATTAATTATTTTTAATCAGGTTTTGCCATTAGTTGTATCAAATGTGTTTGTAAAGTGCATCATAAAAAATTTTAGAATATTTTATCAAATTTAATACATTTATAGTAAGTATTCTTTTTATTAAACAATTTATCAATTCAATCTTCATTAATTTTATTAAAACGTAATTTTATTAGAAATATTAGATTTTTTTTTTTTTTTTGTTACAATTTATTTTTGTTAATCAAGACTTTAATGTCTTATTTACAAAATTGATATGAGCAACAAAAAATACAAAAATACAAAAAAAATGCAATAAATTGAATATAAAATGAAAAAAGTTAAAATAAAAATAAAATAAAAACAGTAATACAAAAATAATAACAAAAATGAACTATGACGTGATTATGTATGCCGCGTACTAGAAATATTAGATGATTAAAAATGACATTAATTGGCTTATAAATAAATTGAAAGATTTTTCAATGTGAAATATTTTTTACTATGTTTATATGGTTTATATATTGAATGATAATAGCGAATTCTTTTAAAATGAACTCCAATTTATATATATATATATATATATATATATATATATATATATATATTGTAGAGTTTCGAACAAGAATCCAAAAATAATACAAAATAAAAAACAAGAAAAGTTTTTAATAAACAATTTCTTTATTTAATTATTTGTTAAAAAAATTTTCCATAACTTTCAAAAAATTTCTATCATTTTTAATATCCTGTTCTGATAATCCACTCATTTATTTTTATCATTTTCTTTTTGATCATATTATCATATTTCTGTACATTATTACTTGTTACAATTAATTTATTATTTAAGAAAAATCTATTTTCTATTCCTAAACATATTGTTTGCTTAAATCTCATCAAGATCATGTTTCTTGACAGATGTCCTGAAGATGGAACGTACCTAGTTCCGAAACGTTGACAGTAAACAAATAATTAAATAAAGAAATTGTTTATTAAAAACTTTTCTTGTTTTTTATTTTGTATTATTTTTGGATTCTTGTTCGAAACTCTACAAAATATACACAAATCCAAGACTCTACCATTCAATATATATATATATATATATATATATATATATATATATATATATATATATTGTATGATTCTGAATTTGATGTTGACATATGTATTAACAAAGTCTAGTAATCAGGCATAACATCAATAAAAAACATGAATTTCTTTCAAAAATTTATTTTTAATCCATACGTTTCGGCTATAATCCTAGCCTTCATTCAGTGGAAAAATTAGTTAATCTTAGTTTTAAATTGGAAAATTTTAATAATCCATGGTATCAAGATATGGTAATGCACTACACTATGTATTATAAACATTAAACTTGTAATTACACAATATTTTCACAAAATACTAATTTAAAAAATCACAATTGGATAGTGTGTTGTTCGTAGACTGATAATTTTTTCACTGAATGAAGGCTAGGATTATAGCCGAAACGTATGGATTTAAAATAAATTTTTGAAAGAAATTCATGTTTTTTATTGATGTTATGCCAGATTACTAGACTTTGTTAATATATATATATATATATATATATATATACATATATATATATACATACATACATACAGGGCCGGTCCTGGGTTACTCAGCGTCCGCATGCCATTTTTTTCTAGCGAACCCTCCCCCCACATATTATTTTAACTCTTTTTACCGTTTATCATTAAAATTATATAAACATTTACGTTAATTTTGTTAAATACTTTAAATACTCAGTATGTTCATTATTCTTTGCATAATGCATAATATTTTTAAATTTTCAATTATTTCTAACGCATGTCTAATATTAATATTTGGGTTTTGAAACATTTTACTTATTAATTTTGGGGATTTTTAAAGTAGAAAATTTTAACCTTTCATTATTAAACATAACATTGTTAACTTCATGTTAGATTATTTCAATTTATTTTCCGTTATTTAAAATATCCAAAATTGCATCATAAACTTCACCAAATTGATATCGTAAAGACCGAATTGTATGTATTCATCTTTACTTTTACATCATGTATCTGACTGTTGTTTTAAAGTTAATTTTTTAACGTATTTTGAAAGCATTGTCCAAAGATTAGTAGGTGATGCAAAGAAATTATATATTTGTTAAATGATATTCAAAAAACTATATTATAAATTTCATGTCCGAATCTCGTGTTGGCGCCCCCTAAGGCGTGCGCCCGCATTTTTCGCATGCATGGTATTCAAGGTAGGACGGGCCTGTATATATATATATATATATATATATATATATATATATATATATATAGGCTAAAATTGGGTGATAGTATTGACCTTAACTGTCCTGAAAAAAAATTAGAAAAAAAATATTTCGACTTTGAGAGGCCCTCCTTTGAAAAAAGTACTATTCATGATTCAGAATTATAAAGTGGTGAAATACTTGAAAGTTTTATTATTGAAAAAAATTAAGTAAAAAAGTAAAGACCGAAAAATGACATGATTTTTGTTAGTCTGATACACCACCATACGAGTTCACTTCATTACACTAAATTTATTATCCCATCCTCGTATCTCGAAGCAAATTTACCCATATAAAAACATTGAAATGCCATTAATTCGTTCGAGTTTTTGTTAAGTTTTTGAATATTAAAAATAAATTTGCTATTTATTAATTTAAATATAGTTCCTTCCTGCCCATGCATAATATTGCGGACTCCCATCTTTTTTGGCAACTTTTTCGGGTTGATTTTTATAAACAATCTTTCAGGGCTCAGAAAACCTTTTTACCATCCAAATATATTTTAATAATTTTACGCTTTAATTCAAAAGATATGGCTATTTTCTCTGGACCTATCGTTATAAAAGTAAATAATATTTTGGAAATGACAAAAAACGCGAACTCAATATATATAACTGATTTTACAGTTAACATTTCAAATGTTAAAATAATTCTCGATATATTGGTGTGGGTAAATCATTATTACTACATAATTAATATTAATATATACTTGAAATGACTAGCTTTAAAATAATTGACAATCAAAACAGCCAAAATATTTTTATGGTAGTAAAATCATTGTTTTCAATGACTACAATCATTGTTACAACTGACAAAAGATTTCATATTTTCATTTTGCCATTAACATTTTTCTAGAAAACTCTTTCTTCCTGCCCAAGCAACAAATCTCTCCTTCGGCGGTCCGTATCTCGAAACGCTCGTATGTCAGATCACTTTAAGTCAGGGTACCACTATATGTATATATACAGATATATATATATATATATATATATATATATATATATATTTGTGTCTATATGTATATGTATATATATTAACATGAATTATGTTTCTAATGGATTCATAATTGGTAACGATTCCGGTTATTAGAACTGACCGGTTACACCAATTATACATTTTGGCGCCGATTTCAGGTAACATGCTACGGCAACTAGATAAGAGTTATCAAATATTATACTATCGGAAATTATTATCAATGAATTCTACACACTCGCACGTGTTTAAAATAATTTTACTTCACATGATATTCGATTGCAATCTTTAAATCGATTAACGATTTTAGTTATTTTTGAATATAATTATAATAAAATGTTATAAATTATGAATTTTCATAAAATGAATCAAAGAATCGTAAGTGTTTATGTCGTTAGTAAATTTGAATTGAAGCAGGGTAATTAAATTTTGTCTAAAATGTTGATTCGCTGTTAAAATATGTACAGTGTAAAACTGTCTAAGTTAGGTGTTAAATGCAAGATCAGATTAGAATATATTTTTTTTTAAAATTTGATTTGTAGTAGTAATTCAAATATATTATGTATTGTCCATATATTTGGTAACTCTTGATTCATTTTATAATTGTTACTGCTTGTTAGCCGAAATTATATGATGAATGTCATTTTTTTATGTTTGAACATTTGAATAATGTTTAACAATTGTGTCCTTGAAATGTACCATTAATAGATAGTATATAAAAGCAATATGCATTATAATGGAATAAATAAATCTTATAATAAAATATGCGCATGCAATTAAAATAAATTATTCTAGATTAAACGTATAACACGCACGCATATATGAGTTTATATATATATATATATATATATATATATATATATATATATATATATCTGCGATAGTTGGCTTTAATTATATGTACCTCGCGTTGTATAAATTCGATTCAATTGAGTTATACTAGACGGCGTTAGAAACATGAGAATTTGTACTAGAAAAAAGCGTTTTCTAACTTCCTGTAGGGTAGTTATAGCAATGGGTCAAAAATCGAAAATAAAAACTTTTGCATATCTTCACGTTTTTAAGGTTTCTGAACATTTTAGCATGCCACAGAAAAATTGGATATGTGTGTGTGTTTTGTATGTCCGCATTTTTTCGTCCACGTTTTCGGGCGCACGGATCAACCGATTTGAATGGTTCAAAAAACATACGATTCCTATTCATAGGGAGATGTGCTGATGAGTTTTTACGTGCGGCTGAAAGGCAGGTCCAGCCGTTACGGAGATACGGAGCAAAGAATGCAAAATATACAAATCGAGTTTCTGAGAGAACGGAGTATCCGATTTGAATGATCTAAAAAACACTCAATTTCTAATGAGAGAAGAGTTGATTAGTTTTTGGCAAAGGCAGGTCCAGCCATTTTAAAGATACAGAGCTAAATGTGCAAAAAATGCAGTTTTTGAGAGAACTAAGCGTCCGATTTGAATGGTTCAAAGAACTTTCTGCTTGTTTTTTCTGTTATTATTTATAAAATAATTGCTTTTGGAAAAAAATGTTTCATGTTTTTTTTCAAAATCTTTTTTTGTATATCGAGAATAATTCTGATTTTAATTTTAATGCTGACTAAAGTTTTAATATACTTTAAACAAGTAATTTCAAATTTGCAATTTAGTTTACATAATTCTTATAAATATTAGACTACTGGACCATATTTTCATCTGCAAATCGATGCTGAATCGCAAGAAAATCACCTCATTTTTGAAGCGACTGGTGATGAAAGTTAATCTCTTGCGACAACCTGGGCAGAAATGGTGTTCAAACCAGAATTGGGATTTGATGGGTTTAGCATGGAATTATATACTGTGAACTGATCTTCTATGGCAAAACCTTCAACTCGGAACTATTCGGTCAACGATTTAACCGTCTAAAGGAAGCAATCGCCCAGAAGCGGCCAGCTTTATCCATTTGTAGAGAAATTGTGTTCTATAAGGACAACGCCTGGCAACACACATCGATAATGACTTGCCAGGAGATCCAGGAGGTTGATTGGAAGGTTTTATACATCTGTCTTATAATTGGGACATGGCACCATGCGATTACCATATGTTTATGTCCATGTCGAACATTAATGCTGGTGAAAAATTCACTTGAAGTGAGGCTTGTCAAAATCGACTGTCTCAATTTTTTGCCAATAGCGAAGAAGGTTTCTATGAGACAGGCATAATAATACTACCTTCAAAATGGCAACAAGTTATTGAACAAAACGGCGCATAATTGAACTAAACCGAACTATAGTAATTAAAGCTTTAATTTCATGCAAAAGTAATGGATCTCTTTTTACTTCAACTAATATATATACAGCTAAATTTAAAAAATTATATTAGAAAATAAAACAAATCTGAAATAAATGATAGATTTGCATATTGCAAAAATCTATAGTTCTACCAAATTATATATGTAAATTCAATTTTAATAAGTTATATGCATCGTATCTAGGTTTTATTCGTTAGATTTTTATCTGAGTTTTTAATTAATAATATTATTTATACTTGTTGATTAAAATTTATTTATATTTACGTTTCAGATCTTAGATTATGTTGGACTCTACATACCTACTATTTGTGTGCTTGATATGTACTTTGGTGGCATGGCTAGCCAACCACCTTAGACGTCCTTACAACTATCCACCAGGTTAGTGGAGGTCAGTGCCATGAAATTTCCTAAATAATCAAATTAAAATGTATGCCTTTATTAGAATACTTGAATATTTTCATCATTTAATTTGCCATTATTGCCATCGGATTAATTTCATTATTTCTACTTTTAATTTTATATCAAATTTATTTGTCGAATATATATTGTAATTATGTGACGATTCATTTTATACCTAACATTTTATCAAGATTTTTAAATAGTTGATAAAGCGAATTTTTCAGCTAAGATATATTTTTCAAATATAAGATTTTAGGGTTAAAAAACTAATAAACTATTAAACGGCCGTTAGCGTGGCTTTGAACTAAATTTTGTACAAAAGAATAATTGTGTAAATATAGGAAATATTGAAACTTTATACACGTTCCGATTTGTTCACGGGTGCTTAGATCAATTAATGCAGCATCTGTTAAAAAGTGCTAATTAAACAGTAAACATTTGAAGTACATGTGTATTTGCGTGACTTATTTGTTTATATAAATATCTAAAAAATAGATAGAACACGAGTACAAATGGATTCGTAAAAAAGTTTTTATCACATTAAGTTTTTTGATAAAAAAAATTAAAAATCATTTAACTAGTTGTATTATTGTTTACTAGCGTTCAAGTCTTAATTATGATCATTTGATAGCAAATATTTAGAATAATCTTAAATTCCTAGAATGAATGGCCCAAATTGAAAATATATAATGTGTGAGTATATATATTAGGGTGGTCCTTATATATATGTTTTCGAATTTCCCTTCGAATTTTTTTTTCTGAAAGTTCTAGCTCTTAATATGAACTCTAACATAGTCCGAACTCCAACCAAAGTTTCTTGGTTTTTCTTTTAAGTAAATATTTATTTTATACATTTTTTTTTAATTTCAATATTTATTACAACTGTTAAATAATTAACATCTAGTAATATTGATAAATAATAACATAAATTTAAATAAATAAGAGTGCAAAGGATAGAATTTACATGAAAATAATATCCGTAATATGATGATTTAATATAAAATAGAAGCAAATAATAATAAAAATAAAATTAATAAATAATATAAATAAAATTTCTGAATAATAAAATAATACTAGAAAAATAATAAAATATAACAAAATAACAATAATAGAAATAGTAAGATAATAATAATAATAATAATAATAATGTTAGCGTTTACAAATTTATGAGATCATTGGGAATTTTTTGTTTTAGCCTGGTTGAGCACGCTTCTGAGAATACTTTTTGTGCCAAGTAATTTGGGTGTTCGTCAATTCTTCTTTTGTAGTTGTTTGTATTTTGTTGAATTACTTCATTTACTGTCATCATGTTGCTGTCCTGGTGAATCAAAAACAACCTATTAAAATTAATAAAATATAAAATCAAATTTTATAAAATATATCAAATTTTTATTGTAATTTTTAACTTCCCGTAGGGTAAGTTATTGTAATGGGCCGAAAATCGGAATTGAAAATTTTTACATTTCTCGACGTTCTGAAGGTTTCTGAACATTTTGGCATACTTCAGAAAAAATGGGTGTGTGTGTGTGTATGTATGTATGGATACAAATTTTCGCCCACGTTTTCGGGCGTACGGATCAACCGATTTGAATGGTTTAAAAAACATTCGATTCCTATTGATAAGGAGATGTGCTGATTAGTTTTTGGCAAAGGTAGGTCCAGCAGTTACGGAGATAAGGAGCAAAGAGTGCAGAAAATATAAATCGAGTTTTTGAGAGAACGGAGCATCCGATTTGAATGATCTAAAAAACATTCAATTAGTAATGATTGGGAGAAGGGATTATTAGTTTTTTGCAAAAGCAGGCCCAGCCATTTCGGAGATACAGAGCTAAATGTACAAAAAATGGCAGTTCTTGAGAGAACTAAGCGTCCGATTCAATTGATTCAAAGAACTTGAATTCAAAGAGCTGCTTGTCTTAACAAAATAATTGATTTTGGATTTTTTTTTTTTTTTTTTTTTAATTTTTTGTATATCGAAAATAATTCAGATTTTATTTTTAATTCTGACTATAGTTCTAATATACTTTAAACATATAATTTCAACTCTGCAATTCAGTTTATATAATTCTTATAAATATTAGACAATGTTACAATATTTATAATAATCTATTTGAAAACATTCAATATTCCTCGAACATTTCGTTACGGTACGGGAAGTTCCAGCAATTTGCCTTAAGGCACGATGCCACCCACCCTACTAGTTTTATTTGTGATCAAAATAAGAAAATATAATGCCATTCTCAAAATTTGTCAAACATATAGTATTGACACCCTACCACATGTAGGTTTTGTGTCAATATACAAGTATTTACAGACTTACGGCTGGGTATCTCGAATTCCCAGGATTCTTGCCTAATTTAAGCTTAAATGACTGGACTAATATGAAAATCTCGTTCTGAGCAAAATATTTGCAGTCATAAGTGACTCAATTTATCATTGTTTTGATTGTATTTGAGTTATACTAATACATATTGAATATTATTTTATTTTACTTAAGTGCTTTTTTATCTGCATAAAATATAGTAGTAATAATTTCATGTAACAGTAATATATCTAATATTGCATAAATGATCAATTACAAATTATTGTAAAATATTTCGCATGTTGCGAAAAAATTTCAAATAATTTGCTATACCAGATATTTCGTTGTTAGTTCTGTTCTTATTTTGTTTTTTCTTTTAATAGAAAATTATTGAAATTTAATGCTCGTATTCGGTATTCTTAATATTGACTAGGTTATAATAATAAAAATTACTTTTGCAAGGCCCCAGATGGTTACCTGTAGTAGGTAACTCTCCGCAATTGCGACGCCTCGCAAGAGCCGTCGGTGGCACTCACCGCGCCCTCGCGATCTGGGCCAACACCTACAGTACATCAGTTCTGGGCCTTCGACTAGGGGGCGACTATGTGGTCGTATTATTCGGTGCCAAAACAGTTCGAGAAGCACTCTGCCGCGAAGAATTTGATGGCAGGCCGGACAATTTTTTCATACGTTTGCGGACGATGGGATCCAGGATGGGCATCACGTGCACTGAGGGTCAGCTCTGGACGGAACAACGTAATTTTGTTGTTAGACATCTCAGACAGGTTGGATACTATTTTAAATATTTCACAAAAATTATTAATTAGTTGTGTATTGCTTTATAACTTGACCAGTTTATCGGGCAAAACGCATAAATGCGTAAGGTTTCAACAATGTCGTTACGGCAAGGACATATCGATCTCCTCGAAAATCAATTACTATTTTTATGATCGACTATTTTGCTTTTACTTGTTTTATGTGTATGTATAAATTAAAATATAGAAATATTAAATGATGACTCCGGGCACCCGCTACAGTTGCATAATTGGAACGAGAACTTCCCGGTTAACAGGTTAAATATTGTGAATAAAAGGTTTGGTGTAAGTGGATTTTGCTTTAAGGGAAGTTGCAAAGACTTCCCGATAAGTGTAAACAATCGACATAATTAATATGAATTGAGATTTACAACTTTTTTGACAATAGAAGTTTGAAATTTTGGCGCGACCCATTATTCCAAATTTTGATGGTTTTTTGTTAACTTTTTCCAATTATGGAAACTTTTCCTACAATTCAGAAAGGTTTGAAACGTCGAGTTACAATAAAATTAGCAAGTCGCATTTCCTGGCGGATTTCTATTTATTAACTAAAATTTGAAACATTTTGAAAAATATAGAAAGCAAATAATTTTCAATTTTTAGGATGCATTATTTGGATATTTTTAATACTAAATTCACAAACAAATATAAATCTTTCTTTAAATATCTTTCATAGTTAAAAAAAAAAATAGTGAAGTACTGTAAATATGCGAATACCAATTATGATTGTTGTTATAATATGGGATCGTGTGTTTATAATAATGAAATAAGAACCATTTCCCAAATATTGTGAGAATTCTTGGTGATAAAGAATTTTTGATTTCTCAAGTCTCTAAATGATTTAATTTTATAAAATATTTTGATGAGGAACTTTGGCGAATTATAATTTTTTTGTTTAAAGAGCGTTAAAACTTTCTATTACTTTAATTTTATATATCCAATGATTATTTTTGGCCACGAAATGACTGCTGGACCTACATTATCAAAGAAAACTAATCAATTTTTCACACCATCCGAATAGTTTTTCAAATCTTTTTTGCTTGGTCTACGATCGATTCGAATTGTTTTTTTTTTTGGATTACTCTAATAACAAAAATTTGCATTCAAACAAACATTTACAATTAATTGAAACTGCTGAAACTATTTTAGGTCGGCTATGGCAAGCAGGCCATGGAAGATCAAATAGTGAACGAATTGAAAGAATTAATTTCAGTGATTGATGCATTAGGAAATTCCGTAAATTTTGGACGAGAGCTTGCTCCAAGTGTAATAAATGTTTTGTGGACTCTGACTGCTGGTGAGAATTGATAATGAATTTTTTTCTATACTGATGTAAACCAGTTTTAACTATGTTTTTTTTTTCAGGCAAACGTATTTCTAGAGATGATCAACGACTAGAACGTTTGCTGACGCTGCTTTCCCAGCGCTCCAAAGCATTTGATACCGCAGGCGGTTCGCTGAGCCAGATGCCTTGGCTGCGATTTATTATACCAGAAAGTAGTGGCTATAATTTATTGCTAAGGTTTAATAAAGAACTTCACAGTTTATTTATGGTATTCTTTTATATATCATATTTTTAAATTTTTATATATACATGTTTTCAAATTTGTTACCTACTCGAAAGTACTTTCATTATTTGTACTGCTATTTATTTTTCATTAAAATTCAACAATTTTAGTATTGTTAAATATACAGACATATTTAAGATAGTTTTCCATCTACTTAAAAATTTACATTTTAATCTGGACAACTTTATAATTTTGCTCATATTCAGACTTATATTACATAGTACAACTTAGTATTTACACTTATTTAAATTTTTTAAATATTTTTAGCAAAAGTAAAATTTAGCATAATTTCAGGAAACGATAACAGATCATCGTAATAATCATAAAGCAAGCCAGGCTGATGATTTAATTCATGCTTACATTACTGAGATGGAATCTCGAAAAGGAAAACCATCTACATTTACAGGTTTGCATATTTAATTATTTTAGTTATATTTGAAGGCATTTAATTATTTTTCATTTCTAATATTTCAGACGTACAATTAACAATGGTAATATTGGATATATTTATTGCTGGCTCCCAAACAACAAGCAATACTTTAGATTTTGCTTTCTTAATGATGTTAAATAGGCCAGATCTACAAATGAAAATTCATCAAGAAATTGACGAAGTCTTAGGAAATAATTTACCAAAATTAGAAGACAGAGCAAAGTATATTTTTATTATATTTCTCTTTCTCTCTTTCTCTCTCTATATATGTATATGTGTATATATATATATATATATATATATATGTATATATATATATGTATATATATATATATATATATATATATATATGTTAGTGAGTAATCACTACTTGATTTGAATCAACTTGTATCAAGCCGAGAAATATTTACTGTGATACAATATGTGCAAACCTGAATTTTAATAAATATAGAAAAAATAATTTTAATAAATCTAAATATAAAATAAAAAATGAATTAAATCGCGATCCACCTGAATTCAATCGACTCTTTCACGTTACAAGCATGATTCCATTTTCTCGCTGAATTTGATTTCAGTTTCTGAACAGCTGCGCAGACATAACATCGTCATTGTTCTTGGGTAATATATTTCAACTGTCTTCAAAATTAAATCATTTCTAATAATAATTTTGTAATATATTTTTTTGATAGTAATTTAATTTTAAAACTTAATGTATCGAGTATATTGGTCAAAATTTTAATCATAAATTTTCATCACATTCACTAAATAAATACATCGATTTATTTTACTTCTAAATTTTTTTTAGGATTAGGTTTTATTTCTAATGTTTTTTAGGATGCCATTTGTGGAGGCAGTGCTTCTCGAAGTTCAAAGGTATTTTCATATTGTAACATTGAATGGTCCCAGGCGAGTAACTAGAGACACTACTATAGGTGGATATAATATTCAAAAAGTAGTTATCAGAAAATTTAATTATAACTGTTATATCATAATTATTTTAACATATATTATTTTTGTGCAGGATACTACAGTACTCATGAGTTTGTATTCGCTACATAAAGATGTGGAATATTGGGGTGATCCAGAAAACTTCCGTCCAGAAAGATTTTTAAGTGAAGAGGGTTACCTCAAACCAAGTGATCACTTGATTCCATTTGCTTTAGGTATAAAAATCTATAATCTATTATCTATGATCTCTATATTAACTGCATTATTAATTAAAGGATTTTAATATATCATTTTTTTCTTCAGGCAAACGTCGTTGTCTTGGAGAAGCATTGGCAAAAGCTTGCATGTTTATATTCTTCACTGGTATTTTACAGCATTATGAACTGTATGTAGATAATGATCAAGAAAAACCTAGCATTGATCCTATACCTGGAATAACATTATCACCAAGACCATATAAAGCAAATGTTAGAAAGCGTATTAGATAATGATTAAATAAATAGAAAAAAACTTCAGAATCATTACATACCTTGATAAAATCTTAGCATCATAATGCTTGTAAGTTTTAACATAAATAACAATACTCTTAATGCAGCACAAACAAATTCATGTGAATGATTTTTAAATTATGATAATCGGAACAAGCTTGTCACAATGAAATTGGAAAATGTTTAGGTAAAAATCTAATTACTTGATTTGACAGTTATCTGTAATGATATATATAAGAATAAAAATAGAATATATAATATGTCTTTTAATAATAACAATAATATTGATAGTAAAAATGCATTTGCCTCTACAATACATAAGACAAATGATTACCAAAAACATGAGGGTACTAATATGGTAATAACTAATATATTAATAAAATTTTGCATATAAATTAGATGCTTTTTTAAGCCAGAAATCGATGGTTGATAAAAAACGTGCAGATTAAGTATATAATTTATTACATCATAAGTGACACTGAAAAACATATGGGTAAATCTCGTAAATGTTCTCGCAAAATATTTAAAAGACTACTTAAAAAATCAGCTGTTTATAACAAAATTTCTATTCTCCCGAAGGAGAAATTTATGTTTTTGTCAGAAAACCTGATTGGCTATTCTTGTTTCATTTTTTGGCAAAAATGGCTGAATTGCTTTCATACATTTAAAAGCCATTTGATGTAGCTGGAGTGGTTTTGTGCCACATCAGGAAAATAGTTCTTCATAACTAACAGAGAAGTGCAAAGATTATATATATTTTTGAATTTCTGTGAGAATGCAACGGAAATTGCGTTACGCCCGAACAGTACGTCATATGTACTCGATGAAATAGCCGTCGTGTCGTGTGAATAGAGATCTGTCGTTGTATGCGTACCGGCATCAACGTTGTATGCGTCCTTTTATAATTATTTATCTATGGGTATGCGTACCGATATCAACAAGGAAAATTCCTGAATCAGAAAAATATTTTACCCTGTTTCCCGTAAATACTTATAATAAAAATAATAAAATAGATAAAACATTTGTGCTCAAAGCTCAAAGAATGAGATCATATTGCCAGCGAGAAGGTAAAAAAAATACAACCAGCCAATGAATGTATGTTAATTTTAATCACATGAAGTTCTTCAAACACAATTATTACATGATGAGTGAAATTGTGAAAACAATATTTCTTTAGGCGTTATTTTACATAATCCACTGTGCAAACAAATATTATAGAATAAATTAATCAGCAATTACTTCATTTCTCTAATGAATGACAATGACAAACCGATCATTTCATATTTTAAGTATGACTTTAATTATATTATTGTTTTCAAATATTTTTAATGTTATTATAAATATATAATTTATTATTATATAAACGTGTATAATGGTTGACACTAATAAATGTGTGCATCGCAAGTGTTACCATATTACTAATAAACATTATTCAAAATTGTTATATGTAGTTATTTACAATTGAAATGCCATCCTGTGATAACAAAAAAGTTTAACTTCAATCGCGTGTGAATTTTACACGCACTCTTTTTTTGAATTTCGCGCATTTGATAACTGTCCTCAACGGCATCGGCCATCTTTTACGAGTCATGTCAATGACGTATCTATGGAATCTAATTTCTGATATGTATTGTTAGGTTAAAATAACGTCAAACACTTGTGCCGGCTAACGCAATTTTATATTGATGATTAATTTATTTTTGCAGTGTATTTTATAACAAAACATTTGATAAAATGATATTAAGGACTGCAGAAACTCATATCCGTGAAACTTTTAACTCAATTTTAATTAACATATTTTAAAAACGTACATTATTTATAGGTAGTTGTTAAAATTTTTAAATAAAGGGAAATAAATATATTTTTTTACAATGTCTAGAAACTTAGCTTATGTGCTTGATAATGGAGCTTACTGTGCTAAAGTGGGATTATCAAACTCTAATACTCCAAAGTAAATTATCATGTTGAAATGGACGCAATTTTATATCTTTTGTAAGTTATGCTTAACCTTATTACATTTTTATTTTGTCCAATAGAGTTATACCAAATTGTATTATGAAAGCCAAATCAGAACGTCGAAGACTATTTGTAGGAGATCAGTTGAAAGAATGCAGAGATGCTTCTGGGTTATATTACATATTAGGTTATCAAAAAGGTTATTTAGTAAATTGGGATGTACAGGTTTGTGATAAAAGAAGTTATAATCTTTCATCTATTTTATAAGTATAAGAACACAAGTGGAATCTTTATCGTTTTCTTCTTTTAGAAAACTGTTTGGGATTATATATTTAGTCCAGAATGTTGCCCTGCAAACTTTGCCGAGCGTCCTGTCATTCTAACAGAACCAATGTTTAATTTTCCACCAATTCAAGAAGGATTAACTGAAATATTTTTTGAAGAATATGATTGTCAGGCACTTTTAAAAATAAATGCTCCTGATCTATGTGCTTATAAATATAGAAAAGCAACTAATTGTTTGTGTTGCGTTGTTGTCGATATGGGATATAGTTTCACACATGTAATACCTTATATAAAGGGAAAGAAGTATCACCCAGCCATACGAAGAATTGATGTCGGAGGCAAGTTATTAACAAATCATTTAAAGGACATAATTTCTTATAGGTAATATCAGATAAATACACATTGTAGTTTTGTTTTATATACAAGTACTAATGACAGCAAAATAGGCAATTGAATGTTATGGATGAGACTTATGTTGTGAACCAAGTAAAAGAAGATGTTTGTTTTGTTTCCCAAAATTTTATGGAAGATATGGCGACCGCTAGGAAAAGAGGCGAAGGAAATACTATTGTTAGGGAATATGTTTTACCTGATTATACAACAGTGCGAAGAGGGTAAGATTATATTTAACATATAAATTGAAATATTTTTGAAATATGGATCATTTGTTAATATAAAATATAGGTAACCCCTGCATAGCTCGGTACTAATCAAAATCAAACTTTTTTTTATTTCAAAATTAGTTAAATCTCCGTACAATAGCTCAATAAATGTGATGAAACTAATGCAAAAGATAACTAACTTGTTACTTATTATTCGAGTGCTTACGTTCTATAGATTAAAAATTCTAGACTTAAACAAACAATCAATTAGTCAATTAATCTTAAACAAAGATTCTTTAAAAAAAAAATGAGACTAAAATTTTAATAAAGATGTGCATGTGGTAAATATATAAATATCTTTTTTCTAGTAGCAAGTAATCGCAAATATAATTTTGTTGCAAAAAATAATGCACTGCTCTGGAGGTAGTACACAAAACTGTTCAGAGGATGAGGATATATTGCAAAAAAAAAGGATCGCATTGGATAGCACTTACTTGTTAGTTATAACAAAAAAAAAAAATCATATAATTGATGTGATGTATATTACTTCCTTAACAAAATAATAGATATAACAATATTTATTATAAAAACATGATATGTAGTATGTTTTTTTGAATTCTTGGAACGTAACTCCTCTTTTTGTACTAGTTTTTTGTCCCGTATAACACAGATTCGCATAAGATGCTAATTTTTTGGAACATAATACCGTGTTATGCAGGGGTTACCTGTATATTGATTTTTAATAGTTTAGTTTTTTACATTTCTTGATGATCTTTTTTATTCAGATATATACAAGATCCAACTAAAAAACCTGATGATGATCAACAAATGCTTAGATTAAATAATGAACGTTTTGCTGTACCTGAATTACTTCTAAATCCATCAGATATTGGAATACAACAGGTTGGTTAATATATCTTATAATTAGTAAGGTGACCATACATCAGAAATTGGCCATGACTATCACACCTCACATTTCATCTTTTTCTAGAAGCATTAGGCACCCTAGATTCAGATTTTTGAAAAGTATATGTTGAAATTAAATCTTTGCAATTATTTGTTAAAGTTAGCTTGTCAAATATTTGAAAACTATATGCGTGACTTAGGCTGATTTTAGATAACATTACGCTATGAAAGAGAAAAATGCTGAATGCAAAAATGCGAACATGGCTAAAATAGCCATTTGTTTTGATAATATCTAACTTACATTTTCAAGTTTACGAAAATTAGCAAAAGAACAAAAAATATATGAAAAAAATTTTAATTTGTCCGACAGAAATTCTTTGGGCAAATGAAACTACTCAAATTGAAATAGACATACTGAAAACTATTTTTTTTAATTATGAAGAAAATTTTATAGACTTTCTTATAAAGCTGAAAAGCGAAATTAACCATAGATCATAAAAATATAAAAAGTATTGTACCCATTGTCAGTAATTCTGATTAAAAAGAAATGCGATTAATTAAAAAAAAAAAAGATTTCTATTGTAGTCTTAAATAGTATTTGTTATTTTTATTCAATTTGAATTAGTTAACATATATACCTCCTCGTACTCAATATAAGCTTATAGCTTAAGTAATTAGATCTGAAATATCAATATACAGTTGTACCCCGATATTTGATTTTAATTTGTTATGTGACCATGCAATTATTTCCATATATATACATTAAAATGCCATTAATTTGTTTCAGCACTGTGGTTTTGTTAAGTTTTTTGAATATTAAAAATAAATTTACTATTAATTAATTTAATTATAGTTTTTCCTGTTCATTTATAATACTGAGAACTCCTATGGCCGAAATGTTGCAACTTGTTGTGGTTCATTTTCATCCACAATCTTCTAGAGGTCAGAAAGCTACTTATAAATTTTTTTAAGGCCCTTAGTTGGAGTTATACTCTCCTATACCCTATTATTAATTCCTTCTGTTTAAACTCCGTACATATCTTTGAGGTTTTATACTCACACATTATTGCCATCCTCATATTTTTCAATAATTTCACTCTTTAATTCAAGAGACATGGCCCGTTTCTTTGAGTCCATGGTTATAAAAGTAAATATTTTGTAAATGTGAAGAAACAAAAAACACGAACTATGCATATATAACTGATTTTGCAGTTAAAGTTTGAAACGTTAAAATAGTTTTCATATATTCGCAAAGGTAAATTATTATTACTATATAATTTATATTAATATATTAGGTTGTCAAATATCTCCTTTCCGCCTTTTTGTATTATAAACCGAAGGGAGATATTTGACAACCTAATATAATTGAAAAGACTAACTATAAAATAATTTATTATCATAAAACAGCAAACATATTTTTATTGTAGGAAAATTATTGTTACTACTGCCGAAATTCTCCATATTTTTATTTTGCCATTAACATTTTTCAAAAAACTCCTACTTCCTCTAAACTCATCCCGAATTTTGCTCGTATTTCAAAGCAAACGTGCCGCTTCTTTGGCGGAACACTCGTAAGTCGGGGTCACCTGTATGGTCATCTTAATGATTTCTAATTCTCGACTAATATTATTCCAAACAGTACAGTTAATTGCTGATAACATATTTGTACTAGAACTTGTTATATTGTTGGTTTTTTATTTTGCAGATGGGTGTACCTGAAACTGTTATTGAAAGTGTATCTTGCTGCCCAGAGGAAACAATTCCCCATTTGTTATCTAATGTTATTGTTGTTGGAGGTTGTGGACTATTCCCTGGAATGAGAGCAAGACTTCTGAAAGAACTAAGAGCACTAGCACCTGATGATATTCATGTTAATATAACAATTCCTGACAAGTATGTATAATATGGGACTAGTAAAAAAAAGGGGGCTTTGGTTCTAAAAAACATGCTAATTTTATGTTCATAATAAAGATTATTATTGATCTTGTCCAAGCCTCAGTTGATTCTTCAAGAAAAACTGATAAAATGAGCTCAAATGGAGGTTTCTTTAGGACTAGTTTTATTGCATTTATTGAGATAGTGATTTCACTAATTTTAAATTAGATAAAGTGTGCTTTAATAAGATTTCATATTTTATTACAATTTTTCCAAATTCTTGAACCATGCTTGAGTGAAATCAGCTATAACAGTATCGTGTTATAAGAGAAACGTTGTTTGTTCTCAAATCACATTAAAGTGAATATAGAAGTGCCGTTTCATAAGGGGATTACCTGTATGTGCAAAGTAATAATTATCTGTGTCTAAATTAAGTAAGTGTTTTTCAATGTTTGTTTTTACATTTTTTCTTTTTGGTCACAAATTTATCAATTTATTTGTTACTATGCTAATCAATTTATTCATAAAATTTCACAGCTTTTTCTTATACAAATTTTGTTTAAGCTTTAAAAATCCAGCTTTAACAAAAATTTTTTCTATTTCTATTGAAATAAATTTATCAATTTTTAAATCATCAAATTACAAAAATAACTGTATCATATATACAGTAATACAATAATACTTGTATCAATCTTATTGCCATTTATTTAATAAAGCTATTACTTTCCTTATTGATCTTAAATCTCTATTGATATTAAATTATTGTTATTATTCATTTTAGTCCTATCACTTATGCCTGGCAAGGAGGAGCAAAATTAGCTTCGGATCCACAATTCATGAAAATGTGTATAAGGAGGCAAGAATATGAAGAAGTGGGACCGAGTGCTGGAGTTTGTGTTAATAAATGATGATAAATAAACATGTTGAAATATGCAAATAATTTATTTGATCTTATATGTATGTATTCATGTAAAATATTGGTATAAAAGTATCATTTTGCTTTAAAATTTAAAGCGCTTAAGAAGAAATATCTTGGGCCAGCCAAATATTACATAAGTAACATTACAAAATAAATTGACATTTATTCTTTCCTTTGTGATATAGTATTGTTTGCATGTAAGAATAAACTGGAGAATTTAATATCAAAGAACTGACTCCAAGATAAGTGACAGTGTTAACATAATCAAGAATTAAATTTAAAAGTGAATTGTGTGTTTGTGATTATATATATATATATATATATATATTAAATTTTTTTTTTTTATATAATTTTGATGTTGAAATATGTGATATTCAGTTTTCAGGGCAATACATCAATTTTTTTAATTGATGTATTGCCCTGAAAACTGAATATCATATATATATATATATATATATATATATATATATATATATATATATATATATATATATAGCGGGTTGTCAACACGCATCGCGACTCGTCAACACGCATCACATGTCTACTGGACAGATAGGCCCATATAGTGACAGCACGGAGAAAAACAAAAATAAATTTAAGTGTCAGATCGGAAATGGCTTTTGTTTCTCCCGAGTCGAATTTGCTAAAATGTATAATTCTTAAAACCTTTCTTTTCAATTATAAATAAGAAAATACCAATAACATTTTATTAACGATCAGTATGACAACACATAGTGTCGTGGATATTAATCATATATAAAATAATCCAAATATAAATAATATTTTATGGAATTTATTATTACTACAATTTGGATAATATTGGTATTAATATGGAGGACTACTACACCTCCTCCATATTTTGGAGTGATCTGTAGCGACCTGTCAACACACGTCGCATTTTAACTTGACAGATGTTCATTATTTGAAGCTCATCATAGTGTCAGCTCAAAAACAAAAAGTTCAAGTGTCAGATCAGATCTCGTTTTTGTTGGCTCAATGTTCGAAATGCCAAAATTATAATTCTTAACTTTTTTCCTTTTTTTATTATAAATACTGAAATAACATCTACGTTTTTGTAAATGATCAATATAATCACACATAGTGTTATTACTATTGTCATAATAAACAATATTCGTAGTATAGAGAACACGAGTTTCTTTATATATATATATATATATATATATATATATATATATATATATATATATATATTGTCAATTAATACATCAATGCCAATTATGTATTATAATTGTCAATTGTAATACATCAATGTACGTAATATTTATTGATCAATTATATGAAATTTTGCAACAACGTTATTAATTATCTACGATTCAAAAAAAAAATTCTATTGTCTATCTTTCAGGGCAGAAAATGTACAGTAGAACCTCGATTAACCGGACTAATTGTTGTCGATAGGCATCCAGATAATCGAATGTATGAAAAATAATGTTGTGTATTTATTAAAATAACAATGAAAATAATGTTTATTAAGAAATTGAAAATTCCTTATGTATGTACATATATATGTTCTTAATTTACATTACATACATATACTAAACTGCAGCATTAATCATGCAAAAATTTGAATTGTAGGTGTGTACATGCATATAAATTAGTCGCAGTTGGTAGTCTGGATAATCGCAAATCCGTATAACTGAGGTCCAGATAATCGAAGTTCTACTGTGAATATTTTCTCAAATACCTTGATTACAAGTACTTTTTCATATATAATAAGTATTAAGAATAAAATTAATAATAACAAGAAAGAGTAGAGAAACTTAAATGTGAGTAGAGAATTTTAAGTCAGTTGTATGATGTTTTTATCACTTTTCTTGGTTTTGAATTAAAATAATGCACCTTAAATAACAGATTACATAATGAATTTTATGCTAAAGAGTTGAATGATTTTAATAGTACAGGATTTTCATATATAAGCATTTTTCTTTTAATATCTGCTCCCCATCTGTACTTGTTTATTTTTCCTGTTTTAGAAATCACTCGATGGCAAGGTATTATATATCCAATATTGTTCTGGCCAATAGCAGTGGCCACAGCCCTAACAGCCTTAGGCCTCCCAATCATCTTTGCAACCTGTTCGTAGCAAACAGTTGTACCATAAGGAATTTCAAGCAATGCCCTCCATACTTCATGCTGAAAGTCGGATCCTACACTAAAAATATCAATGTCATCAGTTTTGCCTTTAATAATATTGTCAAGAACTTCTTTTGTTAACTCTTGATCCAAAATGAAATTAGCATTATGCCACATTGGTGGCATCGATTCCTTGCCATAATTGACATGATCGAATGATAGATGGCAAATTCCGAGATCAGACAATCCTAATTGGCATTTGCCGAAAGGAGTTTCGTGCATTCCGTATCTGACGTTCAATCGCCGCGCACGTGCTTCAAATTCTCTAAGTGACATTTGAGTGTAACGCACCATTTTGGGGTTAAAGTGACTATTGTGTGAAATTCGAATTTAATTTGATCGATGCTTGCAGTGCGCAATTATTAAACTGTTAATCAATAGGTTATTGCTATTATTTTATAGTGTCATTAGTGCGTTAAAACGTTTTACCATGTTAATTTGTGCAACTGTGTACCGTTGAATGTATGACAGGTAAGTCGAGTTTACCGTACAGCGTTAATGCATGATGTCTTCGCTGCGCGGCGCCTGTTGTAATAGTAATCATAACGCTTTTAAAAGACTCCTTTCAAAAAAGAGTGCGCGTTCACACGCGATTGAAGTAAAACTTTTTTGCTATTGTGCGAGATGGCATTTAAGTTAAAAATAAATACATCATAAAACAATTTTGAATAATGTTTATTAGTAAAATTGTAACACTCATGATGCGCACATTTATTAATTTTAACCATTATGCATATTTATATAAAAATAAATTAGAAATTATATATTCATAAAAGCATTAAAAATATTTATGATATTTGAAAACAATAATGTAATTAAAGTCATACCTACTTCAAATATGACATGATTGGTTTGCCATTTGTAATTAGCATTTAGAACTGAACCTTCATTAGAGAAATTAGGTAATTGCTGATTAATAAATTCTATAATATTTGTTCACACAGTCGATTATGTTAAACAACGTCTAAAGAAATATTGTTTTCACAATTTCACTCATCATGCAATTGTGTTTGAAGAACTTCATGTAATAAAATTGACATACATTCATTGACTGCTTGTATTTTTTTTACTTTTTTGCTGACTATACAATACCATTCTTTGAGCAGCTGTAATATCTGTCTTGTCTACAAAAATATTTTTATTTGAATAACTTCAAATATTTATAATATAGAAATTATTTCAATAAACTTACGTTTCGTACACGGCACAAATGTGTCATTTGTTTTATTATTTTCATTATAATTATTTACGAGGGACAGGGTAAAATATTCTTCTGATTCAGGCATTATTTATTAAATCAAGATTTGTATTACAATGTAACCTCAAAACTAATAACATTCGAATTTCCTTCTTGTATCCTTACGCATGAAACGTTGATGCCGGTACGCATACGACAGATCTCTATTCACGCGACACGACGACTAATCACAATCGAAAAAATGACCAAAAACGTTAAGAAAACAATACTTCATTATATTTTAATCTTTTTAAACATTTTTCCTTATAGATTGTATACCCTTCACACATCCGTATATGATAATTACATTTCTGCATCAATCCTTAAATAATAAATAATCCTAAAACTAGCTGTAAGTGAAATTCTGTCTTGAGGCAATTATGGCATCGTGCCTTAAGGCAAATTGCTGGAACTTCCCGTACCGTAACGAAATGTTCGTGGAATACTGAATGTTTTCAAATAGATTATTCTAAATATTGTAACATTGTCAATATTTATAAGAATTATATAAACTGTATTGCAGAGTTGAAATTATTTGTAAAGTATATTAGAACTATAGTCAGAATTAAAAATGAAATCTGAAATATTTTCGATATAAAAAACTAAAAAAAAAAAAAAAAAAAAAAAAAAAAAAAAAAAAAAAAAAAAAAAAAAAAAAAATGAACAAAATTTTTTTTTCCAAAATCAATTATTTTGTTAAGACAAGCAGAAAGTTCTTTGAATCAATTGAATCAGACGCTTAGTTCTCTCAAAAACTGCCATTTTTTGTACATTTAGCTCTGTATCTCCGAAATGGCTGGGCCTGCCTTTGCGAAAAACTAATAACCCCTTCTCCCAATCATTACTAATTGAATGTTTTTTAGATCATTCAAATCGGATGCTCCGTTCACTCAAAAACTCGATTTCTATTTTCTGCACTCTTTGCTCCGTATCTCCGAAACGGCTGGACCTGCCTTCGCCAAAAACTAATCAGCTCTTTTCCCTATCAATAGGAATCGAATGTTTTTTAAACCATTCAAATCGGTTGATCCGTACGCCCGAAAACGTGGACGAAAATTTGTATCCATACATACATACACACACACACACACACACACACACACACATCCATTTTTTCTGAAGTATGCCAAAACGTTCAGAAACCTTCAAAACGTCGAGAAATGTAAAAATTTTCAATTCCGATTTTCGGCCCATTACAATAACTTACCCTACGGGAAGTTAATAATATTCTATCCGAAAAAGAAGGCTAGGAAAGCAATATGGCATGGTCTAATACATTATATTTTATATTCAATAATACATTATATATATTCCGCATTTTTTCGTTCATGTTTTCGGGCGCACGGATCAACCGATTTGAATGGTTCAAAAACATTAGTGATTAGTTTTTGGCAAATGCAGGTCCAGCCTTTTGTAGATACCGAACTAATTGTGCAAAAAATGACAGTTTTTGAGAGAACTAAGCATCCGATTTAAATGATTCAAAAAAAAATTCTGCTTGTTTTGAGAAAATAATTGCTCTTAAAAAAATATTTCAATTTGTTCTATATTTAAAACTCTTTAGATCATTCAAATCGGATGCTCCATTCTCTCAAAAACTCGATTTCTATTTTCTGCACTCTTTGCTTTTTATCTCCATAACGGCTGGACCTGCTTTGGCAAAAACTAATCAGCACATCTTCCTATCAATAGGAATCGAATGTTTTTTGAACCATTGAAATCGGTTGATTCGTGCGCCCGAAAACGTGAACGAAAAAATGCGGACACACAAAACACACGCACACACATCCATTTTTTCTGAGGTATGCCAAAATGTTCAGAAACCATCAAACCGCCGAGAAATGCAAAAATTTTCATTTTCGATTTTTGGACGATTACAATTACTTTCTCTACGGGAAGTTCTTACCTTCGCAATAATTTTACTAGCTCATCAGAAACGAAACGTTTGCAACCAAAACTAAAGTTACGACTCAATTTCTGGTAATAAATTAGCAATTTTCTAGACATTGACCCCGCATTTTCCATTTTTATCTATCACAATTTGTATCTATTTTATTTAACAGGACCCGTTTCAATTAAATCAACCCGATGTTTTCCGCATCATTTAGCTGGGGTTTCTAAATTTTAAAATAACACCGTTTTTTTTAGTTTTGTCAACAACTAAATTTAATTCTAGGTGATGCGTTTTATGTTGCAGTTTTAAATTTGCTGAGAGACTCTGCTTGCTTTTTTAATATTGACGTCTTTCGCAGATTTATTATTACGGGATTGGACACTAAAATTGTCAATTTCTTTTTCGTGTCCTTTAACTTCAAAAGCAGTGCAGCAATTTACTAATTTGTAGAGTTATTTACTGGTTAATAGTATCAACTAACATGTATATCATGTTTTCATATTCATAGTTTGATTAGAATAATTATAATAATTTATTAGGTATTCTATTCATAATATATTTAAAAAGAATATTACATATTATATATACAAATGTCGAGAGGGTTCGCCGACTCTGTAAATATAATACGATTACAATCAGTGGTGTCGTGCTATTTTTTTTTTACCGGAACGCTAAAATTGAAAAACCGGTTCAGAACCCGGTTCAAAAAACCGGTTCTCATATTTAATCCGGTCCGGTTCGAAAAGGAAAGAAACAAAAATCATTACAAAACCCATTTGGTGCATATATATGTATGTTTATTACAATAATAGGAACATTTTATAAAAATTAGTTAAATTATAAAATGCAAATAGTATTTCAAACGACACTGCAAAAATATTTTTATCAGTTTTCAATGTGAACACTAATGGTTTTTATAAAATATTCCAAATAGCATTATGTTCGGGATCTGGCAGTTGAAATTTCCTTGTTTTGTGGTCATCTGCTGAACGATGAAACCTTAACCAAGTTTTTACAGGTTTTGTTTTAAGATTGTTATATCTTTAGGAATTACTTTGCCTTCAGAATTAATATAATCTCTGAACGCTTTGATAGATCGCATCGGTGATGTAAATTAAATCTGGTGCATAATGACTGGATTTCATTTTCTCCAATGCCAACTCCAATATCTGCTACAATTTATTGATAATATATATTACATATGAATTTTAACTAATATCTTTGCATAGTGCAAATATTGAAATAAATTTTTCTGTGGCAACTTCTGACTTTCATTTTCCATTCGTTTGTTGTGGCAATCTTCTGTCTTCCGAGTCTTCGCTGCTATCGTCGATTATGATCACGTCGTTTGAAGTTAAAAATGTATATGTCTTCTTCAGGTGTGCAGTACGAAGATGTTCAACTTTAGCTTCTAAATTATCAAAGGTCTTCCCACAATAGATACATGCACATAATTTCGATTTGCATTCATTCCATCGATGCCACTTCATTCGGGTGACGAGACCTGTCTCGAAATTGCACTCGTGACATCTAAATGGATACTCTCCCCTAGCCTTCTTGTATTCGATATACCTCATAAAATTTACGTAATCCTTTTCATAAGCTATGGTTATGGTTTCAGGCTCGTTTACGCGAGCTTCGTGCTTACTTCCACTTACATTCATATTATCACTCATTTTGATAATTAACCTGATACAATTAATGATATTTGAACTTCTGAAGTTCTTTAAACAATTATAATATAAATCACTTTATTTTATAAGGCAAATAATTAAAAATAAAATGAATAATTGCAGCCGAGATACTAAAAATTGTGCTCAAAACTATTCTATTAATCCGAACTTTATATCAACACACATATGCATATACTGTGGGCAATCTACGCTATATACAATGCCAAGTCCGGTATATGTTTATGTTTATTTAAAAGACAAAGAGCACCTTTTCAACAATGAACGGAATCGATTGTTAAACAAAATCTAAACTATCAATTTCAAATCGAATTTACGAACACGATGCTGAAATATAAGACAGAACTCAAACAGTAATTATCAATTTTACAATTATATCTCCCAACTATCGCGTTGAATCTCTTTTTTATCATATGAACTACAATCAGTTTACGTCATTAAGACATTTATTAATTATTTTGTAATTTCACTTATTTTTAACTTCCCGTAGGGTAAGTATTGTAATCGTCAAAAAATCGAAATTGAAAATTTTTACATTTCTTTCTCTTTCGTTTTGAAGGTTTCTGAACATTTTGGCATACCTCAGAAAAAATGGATGTGTGTGTGTGTATGTATGTATGGATACAATTTTTCGTCCACGTTTTCGGGCGCACGGATCAACCG